AAAAAAAAAAAAAAAACTTCCATCCATCCATTTTCTTCCGCCTATCCGGGGTCGGGTCGCGGGGGCAGCAGCTTCAGAAGGGAGGCCCAGACCTCCCTCTCCCCAGCCACTTCTTCCAGCTCCTCCGGGGGAACTCCAAGGCATTCCCAGGCCAGCCGAGAGACATAGTCCCTCCAGCGTGTCCTGGGTCTTCCTCGGGGCCTCCTCCCGGTGGGACGTGCCCGGAATACCTCACCAGGGAGGCGTCCAGGAGGCATCCTTACCAGATGCCCGAGCCACCTCAACTGGCTCCTCTCGACGTGGAGGAGCAGCGGCTCTACTCTGAGTCCCTCCCGGATGACCGAGCTTCTCACCCTATCTCTTAGGGACAGTCCAGCCACCCTGCGGAGGAAACTCATTTCGGCCGCTTGTATCCGGGACCTCGTTCTTTCGGTCATGACCCAAAGCTCATGACCATAGATGAGGGTAGGAACGTAGATCGACCGGTAAATCGAGAGCTTCGCTTTYTGACTCAGCTCTCTCTTCACTATGACGGACCGGTACAGCGCCCGCTTTACAGCAGATGCTGCGCCAATCCGCCTGTCGATCTCCCGCTCCGTTCTTCCCCCATTTGTGAACAAGATCCCCAGATACTTAAACTCCTCCACTTGAGACAGGGCGACCCCCTGACCCGGAGAAGGCACTCTGCCCTTTTCCGGCTCAAGACCATGGCCTTGGATTTGGAGGCACTGAGCCTCATCCTGGCCGCTTCGCACTCGGCCGCGAACCGCTCCAGCGAGAGCTGCAGATCTCGTTCCGATGAAGCCAACAGGACCACATCATCCACAAAAAGCAGAGATGCGATCCTAAGGCCACCAAAACGGATCCCCTCAACACCTCGGCTGCGCCTAGAAATTCTGTCCATGAAAGTAATGAACAGAATCTGTGACAAAGGGCAGCCTTAAAATAAAAATAAAACTTGTATCTCATAATTATGACTTAGCTATCTCATTATTATGAGATACTATCTCATAATTATGAGATAGCTAAGTCATAATTATGAGATACAAGTTTTATTCATTTTTTATCAGGGTGGCGGAAATGTGCTTCCATAGAAACAAAAAGCTGCCTCAGTAAAAAAAAATTGTTAAACCCAGAAATCGATATTTGTTTCTTGGTTTGACAAGTTTTATAATTTGGATATGCTTAGAAAAAATAATAAATTTACTAAATCTCTTATCAACTTGGTCTTAGAATGCTCAATTTTCATTTATTTCAGATAAATTGTGCTAATTAACCAAAATGATATCAGGGTGAATCATACAGAACAAGTAATCAGGCCTAGTCAAAACCCTTTGCATTTCAACAAAAATGTTGTTCAGCTTAGAAAACCAGTCGATTGCAGGGATCTGAGTCTCTGAGCCAGCTCAGATTGGCATCAAAAACAGGCAATGTTTTAGATTTTTTTTTTTAACAGGAAGAGACCTGCAGCACCAAAGTCAGGAAGGATGTCAATCTGCTTGAGTTACTGAAGGAAAGCAAATACAAGAGTCAGAAAAACACACTGTTACAGCGCTGTGTGTAAACTGAGAGTAGCAGAGGGATAAAGGTGTTTGCAAGCAGGTGTTGCAAACACTGACAAAGCAGATTCTTAAAAAAAAGATGGCTGGATTAACAGAAATGATGGGTTAAGAGAAAACAGAGCTACTGATTTAACAATATGGCTTCAATTACACCAAGACCCCAGATCTCTGTGTTGTGTTTATTTATGTCTCATTCTTTTCTTTGTATAACCTTATTATGTGTTCAAGGCAGGGGTCCCCAAACTTTTTCCTGTAAGGGCCACGTAACTTTTCCCTTCTCTGGTGGGGGGCCGGAGTCAGTTTGTAACAGAAAAAGTGTGACTATTGCAGGAGTGCCTAAATGTAAAAATTTATTGTTTTCCAGAAAGCACAATCAAATAACCCTCTCTGGGTTCTTCACAGTATGCATTCTGCTGAGCTAACAGTCCACTTTTTAGCTTTGAGAGTTTGTTTGATCACATTTGGCCTTGCAAGCTATCATACTTGTCTTTGTGACAGGATTCATAGTGTCGCTGCAGATTGTATTCTTTGAATACCGCCACCGCCTCTTGACAGATGAACAAAAAAATAATCATTTGTCCACTGCAGCTTAAATCCTCTGCATCCTGAATCAATTTTTCTCTTACCTAATCTTTTCGCCATTATTCCGTTCTCTCTTTGAGAGGGGCGGGTTTAGGATTTTTATCTAGGGGTTGCCAGATAGGAGCACAGACCGCAGAAGGGTGGAACAGAATGTCACGTTATATGCGTGTATGTATGAAATAGTTACTAACTAATAATAGTTAATAATGAAAATAGTTCATAATTAAGGAACATTTTATTGCAAAAGTCCAACTTTATAATCAAATATAAATTTACAAATATGAGAAAAAAAAACTAAATGCTCTCTGGTATTGTTCTGGGGGCCGGACCAAATGGGGAGGCGGGCCGGATCCGGCCCACGGGCCGTAGTTTGGGGACCACTGGTTCAAGGCATCCTGTTGCCCAAGAGCTGTATTTTAGTTCAGCTGCCTGAAATAAATATGAATGACTTCAGCCTGAATTTCATCCAAACCTGCAATGTGAGCTCAAAGCAGGAGGTGCACAAGAACAAGAACTGCCTGAATGTTTTACAGATCCTATCAAAGGCCCCCTTTACATTTTCGGCCAGTGTGACGGGTTTCAGTTGACGTGCTGAAAAACCAGACTCATGAATCATGGCGGGTGTATGTTTGTATGCACGGGTGTGCACTTGATGCCCCCGAGGCGGTTGTGCACACAGCCGAGGTTGGAGACACAGACATGGCTTATGACGACAGAAGGGCGTGCGTGCAAATGTTCAAGCGCGGGGGTCGATATCTGGAGTATTTGTGTCTCCCAAGGACATAAGGAGCCAGTGTGAGGCAGAACAGCCAGCAGCTGTGTCGTGGGATAAGTACAGGTTGGACACAGCAAGAGGTAGTTAAGTGGAAAAGACTAACAGATGCTGGGGCTACTTCACTCAGAGGTGGTGGTGGTGGGGGTAGCCTTACCACGGCTGAGGCACTGCACCCCCAACACACGATGAAAGTCTGAAAACAAAACATAAAACAAGCGCAATGACTGCAGAAGTGTTTGAATTTCTTTAAACTATGTTGACATTAGACACAGTTTAGATGAAAACTGGGACCTCTTGTAAAAAAGAGGAAAAATCAAACAAGCATCCCTTGCAGAAAGGCAGATCAGGTTTCAAATCTTGCCTGATCTGTATGAAATGGTGATGACTCTCAGCTTCTACCAGCCCCAAACTATAACTCAGTATGTGTAAAACGGTCTCCAGAGGTGGTGGGCACGGTTCTGCTAAACCAAAACCAGCAAAACTATCTTTTCATGTAGCGGATTAGCTTTTTCACGAACTCTGAAAACTGTTAGTGGACCAATTAGCTTCTGCTAAATTAGGTTTTGCCAAGTTTAAGTATGCTAGCAGCTAACTAACAAGCTTCAACTGGTTTGTCAGTCCCACCCATATGATCCCACCAGCTGTCAGCTGTGTGATCATGCAGACTGACAGTTAGTGATGTCTAGATCGATACTGAAATATCGATACTACCCATACTAGAACTTTATGTTCAAGAATCAATACTAAAATCAAAATATCGATACTTTGATACTTCGGTTATTTCACTTAATGTTTTCACATTACCAGGAAAATAGTGGAAAATAACTATTCAAATCTTGTCTAAATCAAATGTGGTTGGACGGAAGTTAGGGAACTACTTTTTCTTCCGCTTGGGTAATGCATGCGCACAGTGGCACACGCTCGGTCACTCAGTCTGTAGAGGTATGGCAGGTCATTTTAACATAAAATCTGCTTCGTCTGACTGCAATTAAATTCAAGTTCCCAAACTTTTTCATGCCACTGCCCCCCAAACGGGATTAGTTCTGGCCAAGGACCTTCTTGCAAACCCACAAATAATGCTATAAAATATACAAAGTAACAACTTTTTTGACTGTTTTCTCTCACTTTTATTCACTATTCAAAAATTATTTTTCTTTAGAATAAGAATTGTGCTAAACAAATATACGGTTAGTGTTAGAAAGACTTTTAAATTAAATAAATTACTATGTCATGTATTATTTATAAAGCAGTAATTTGAAAAACGCTGCTTTACTAGGCGCATTATGTGTGTTAGCACAAAGTATCAGTATCGGATCAGTATGACCGATACCAGCCAAATTTTACTCGGTATCGGAAAGAAAACTGGCAGTATCGAACATCACTACTGACAGTCGTCTTAGCACTTAGCTTAGCTTTAGCTTCCACTAATTTTTACTTGTTTAGCTGATTAGCATTAGCTTCTGCTAATTTTTGTAGCTAGCTAAACGCTAGCAGTTTATAAGTCAGTGATGCTAACTTTTTGTTTATCTGTGCCCCCCACTTACAGTTGTACTCTAATACAGGGGTTCTCAAACTTTTTGGGTCTGGGGACCCCTTACAAGTGTGAAAAATTTCCAGGGACCCCCTAATAAACCCCATGCTGTTTTAGAAATAATTTACTGTCATTTTAACTCCTAAATATTATCTATTCTATTCTATTATATCTATTTATTTATGAGAATATTATGTTTTTGATTGGTTTAGTATGTTTGTTTTACTAGTGCATTGTTCCTCATGTTCATTTTTCAAATAAAATCCAAAATAACCATTTATTGAAAAATTTTGAGGACCCCCAAGATAGGGCTCGTGGGCCCCTGGGGGTCCTGGGACCCCAGCTTGAGAACCTCTGCTCTAATAAATGGGAGAACCTTCAATCAGGCTATTAGAACACTAGTAGTCATGTGACTATGTCTGCTTAACACTGCTGGTTTAGCTGTGTTTAAACTTAAATTCAGGAAAACAGCATCAAACTCCACAGGGAGAACTACAAAGCATTTACAGGTCTTTTAATAGTGACTCAGGATACAGCCTTCATCCCAACATGGACTGAAGTTTGATCACTCTTCCCAAGCAAAGTTTCTAGATAACAACTGGATATGAGCGATGGGACAAGCTGAATTTGACCGGGGGGAAAAAGTGCAACCAAGAACTGCTCCAAACATTTTATCGGAGGCAAAATACGAACACTGGACTGTGGAGCATTTTGTGTGCCACGATAAATAATTAATTATATAATTAAATAAATAATTTATTAAACAATGAAATCTATAATTAATTAATTTAATGTGTAATTGAATTATTAAATGCATAAATACACAATTAATTAAAGCTATAAAAACTGATAAAAGCACCAACTTTCAGTCTGTTGACATCCTTGATGCTCCAGTCAACCTTTCAACTGAACTTATGCTGTCATATGTGTGAAGTCACGAGTAAAGGTCAGCCAACCTGAATGTTGACTTCTTAACTGATAAAAAGTTATTTTGGGAATGTTTCCGGTTGTTTGAAAATCAACATAATTTGCTCATTATTATGCTCCTCCATGACCAGGCTAATTAATTTGAGCCAATCAGAATACACTATGCTGCTTTGTATACATTGAAACAATGTTGTATCGTCAATATCAACATGCTAACACTTCATCAGTTTTAACTTTTATTACTGCTTTTTAATGGCTATGTGTGTTGTTATCTGTCATGTTATTAAAATATCTCATAAACAGATGTATATTTATAACTGTTTTCCTTTCAAACCATTCCAACTAATGTGCTGTAGTAAACTCCACTGTCGGCCACAAAACAGTCTTAAATGTATGAAAATTTGGAAAATTAAGTTTTAAAATGATTATTACTGTCATTTTTTGCTATAGCTGTTACAGGAGATAAAAACAGTAGATACTATAATGGTTATGTTTTCATATGTCATGTCTTTATGTGTGAATTCACAACCTTCGGTCTCTGCTGGGTTATTTTGTGGGTCAGATGGTGAAAAGTTGGCAAAATTACAGCTGCAAGAAATTAAGTCAAATAGTTTCTAAAAACAGCAAACATTTTCTTAAGGTTTAATTAGGTATTATTTTGGTATCTAATCTTTTTTTAAATTTAAAATAACATAAATATAAGTGTCTAAATTCATAAAGTAAATAAGAAAATATTCTTTAATCCGAATGCTCACGTTTTGTTTTGTTAATGTTTGAGGTATCCAGTAACACAGTTCTACAGCCAGACAAATTGAAACCAATATTTTCTGTGGTTTTCGGTTCGCCTCCAGTAAGCTTATGAAAACCACCGACTTGCCCTAATGCGTTTATAGCCTCTTGTTGTTGTGGCAGCCTTTTGTTTGTTGTGATTGGACTACTTCCTGTTGTACTAAAACTTTATTGTCACTCAGGTTTTTATAATCACACACACCCATACTTACACGAAAAGAAAAAAGAAAAAAAAACATCTTACTTTTAGAGACGGGTCACAAAGACAACATCTCCTGCCAACATGTTTTATATACAATTACAATAAAACTCACAATAAAACTTAAATCATTTCTGTCTCATCATGCATGACCTCACCCGACACACACACACACACATTTATAAAACACACCCCATTGCTCTCTGTCTCCCTCTCACACACAAACCACTGGCATACCAGAGAGCCTATATTTAAAATGAGGGATGTTTTTTATTTCCAGGGTTTAGATGTTCTATCAAAAGTGGTCTGTGTAGACAGCTGGGTGTAGAAAGACTCTGCATCAGTGGTAAACACAGGTATGGCCGAATATAATCATGAGCAATGGGTCAACAGCTCTTTACAATAAGTTAATGAACGCATATGGAGATAAGAGAGAAAGAGCCCAAAAGTGTGATTATATAATGATGTGGCATGAGCCAGACCCAAACAGTTACAAATTTGCCAGTGCTGCAAAATACCACCTTCCAAACGTGTAGCTGTTCCAAATCGAGCCCTATCATCCATCCCACGTCTCGTTTTCAAAGCCTCTCTCTCCTCCTCCCACCACAAATCCCAGAACCTCGAGTAACAGGCAGCGGGAGCGAGAGAGGAGACGAGGGGAGTGTTTAAATCTGGCATTCTGTGAGTGGTCGGGTCGGTGTCTGGAAACCTTTCACATCCTGTTTACGGCGGGCAGATTTCAGCCCCGGGGACCGCAGAGAGCTGGCAGGGGCCCTCTGCCCGGACACGGCTGCTGCCTCCCTGCTCTATCTGCCTCCTTCATGTCTGAATGTGCAATCTGCCCCGCTGCCTCCTTCAAATCAACACCTCCCTCAACCTAAAACAAACATGTCTGGCCCGCCCCGCTGCAGGATGATTGTCACGGCAGAGTCGGATCCGACACACCAGATGGGGCTTTTTTGTTTTTCAAGCTTTAATACTCAAAAGCACTGGTTTAATAAAGCTACGTCATCATATTTACAGTGTCCTATATCGAATGGAAAATTCCAGAAAATAAAAACAGAGAAGCTTTCATGACTGTGAAGAATAAAATCCTGACTCGTCCCAACCAAACGGAGCAGAGAGAGGCTCCATCTTAGAGAAGCAGTTTGCTTTGTTTCGCTCCCGAAGAGTCCTCCTCGGCTCCCCTCAGCGGCACTTGCAGGATTTGACGACCATGTTGGAGAGCTGCTCCACACGAGGCGTGCGGCCGATGAAGTACATGATGGTGAGGGGCTCCAGGTCCTGAGGAACACAGCAGGGCGTCGCCGAGGCCTCGGGGTTCAGCTTGTTGTACAGGGGCAGGATCTGAGCGGGAAAATAAAGGAGACACGTTTTGTTCAAATTTTTAAAAAGTGCATTTTCTCAACCATCTTATTTCTGCGGGCGATGAGATTCGGCCAAGTCTTTCTAGTTGTTATACAACCGAGTTGTGAGGTTGTTTCCTCGCATTGCCAGGCAACTAACGTGTGGTTTGACTTTGTGGGAAACGAGGTTATATAAGAAAACTGATGCCATTCTCACAAATGTACAGTAAAAATAAAGCTTCAGCCAAAAGTCACTCAGGATACAGTCCTGATGGAAAGTTTCTGGACTCTTTCATGTTTACTACTTTTTTTTTAATTAAAAAAAATACACACACATTCCTACAGGGACAAAGTAAGAAAATGATGTTGTTTTTGGTCATTTACTGAGCATTAAAATTATGAAATGATGCATTTTTACAGAACTATTCTGACTCTTCTCTCAGGATGTTTGACAGCAATAAAAACTTTAAGCCTCACTGGGAGCAAGCCCAGAAAGCTGTCCCACTGGACATTTGGATCATCCTCTGTCCAAAAACCTTCAACCCTAACCAAGCTGAATTGGGAATGTCAAAGCGCGGCCAGTTTAAGGTTTTTTTAGGTTCAGGTTCAGACTTTGTTGTTTTTTCTTCAAAGCATCTTCCCTCTTCACTCTGTAACGTGCTTCAGGTCAAAGATAAGTCATGCAGACTGGTCAAAATAAAAATCTGAAAGTGAAATAAATCTGCTCTATATTTTTCTGATATTGATGGTTAATGTGTTCTGAAATATAAAATATGCAAGCAAAATTTGTCACAGTTGTCTTAATCCATTTTATTTTGTGTTTAAGAGCAGATTCACTTTTATATTTCCATCTAAACTTTTTTAGAATTTTACACTTGTCCAGTGCCATCATTTTTGCAGTCTTATATAGGGTACCTCAAAATGACACTTGATTGAAAGTACAAGTATTTTACCATAAAAGTTAATGTTTCCTTTACGAATGCTTGAACAAATGTCTGAGATTATCTGATATTTCCTGTATCCAAAGTAAATTTCTGATATAAAATGTACTAAAAGTGAAAGTATTGAGTAAAAGCAGGCGGCTAGATTTTCCAAAATGACATTTACTGGGAGGTGACCTCCCAAACAAACTTTTTTCTAAAGGCTATGACTATAATATTATATTAAAATGCTAATGTTGAAAGATTTGGGATGCACTCAGTGACATACATATTTTTGCAGCAGTTCTGGACTACATACTTCAGTTATGTCCTGCTGGAGTGTGACGTGATTTGTGTCATGTGAAGGTGCGATGGATCACATGTCTGAATTGCTTATATTTATAGTTTTCTTCCAACCACAATTAAATTCACTCTATTTCAGAGACACCATATATCTCGATAAGATTTTTTTAACAGTAATAAGTCTGAATGAAACAGGAAAAACAAAGCTATTTTTAAAATGTATGACATAGAAGTAAAATGTCAGCTGAAAAATAACTACTTGAGTAAAGATTACCAAAATGTTTACTTAAATAAAGTAATAAATCCTTCGTACGTAGTTACTTTGCATCTCTGGATATTTGTTTATTTACACAGCCAGCCTAATATATGTCAATAATATGATTATCTTCAACATGGTTTTTTGTGTTTTCAGCAAAATACTTTTACACTGAGTGCATGTCCACACTCCAGACCTGCATAAATCTGGAAAACTGGAATAAACTCTTTCAAACTTCAGCAATGATACGGTTCAGTATGCACTTTTATATGTTTGACCTCTTACTTTTAAGCAGATAAATGTTGGCGTTGGTTTCCAGAAACACTTCACAAGTTCTGACTTTGTTATAAATCTGTAGATTTTTGTCTTGTGAATCCTTCTAAATGAACTTCTCCCCCCCAAAAAAACTGTAACTACCTGATCATAAAGCTTTGGTTTGACGTTACATCAACAGTCTACTCCAATCATGTCACACATTTAAACCTGTTATAAATCTATGAAACAAGAATTGTGCAAAAGTCACATCAAGTTGGAGAGCTCAACTTCTCGAATGGTTTAGATTATCCTTCCTTTTTTTCAGGAACTGTAACTTTTAGAAGAAATTATTTCGAAACAAAAGCTGTGCATTGTTAAAGTTTCCATAATGCCGTATCAAGTGAAACCATAACATTTCTGTTGCATTTCGGCTGCTAATGTATTTGATAACCGCGGGCATTTTCTCTGACACCAAAGCTTTTTCAATCCAGGGTTCAGAGAGGAGGCTTAGAGAAACTTCGGACATGAAAAACAAAATCTCTAGACCTCAAAAACCTGTATTTTTGCCATTGTTGGGAGTTTTGTAGTCAGTCTCCACACCTGGATTGGATTTCCACTCTACGAGTTTCTGATCTTCTAATCAAACCACAAAAACAGGCAAAATTTCTAAAATGTCCATTTATTTCTTATATCAAACTTCATCAACTCAAACCTACACAGTCTTGATGAGGCGGTATAAATATTTTGTTAACTGGGGCTTTTAGGTGAAAGTTTTCTGAACAAAAATAAATTCCTGTCAAAAAAAAAAAGTTAAATCTCGTCACGCTTTCAAAGTCTTTGAAATTCCAACATAAACAAAAATGTTTTCATTAAAGTGAAATACTTCACCATCGTCAGTGTCAAACTAAATCTGGGGGCTGAACATTGCGAGCGGTTCTTTAGGGTTTTAATCATCATAAAGGCTCCGTACCGAAGAACACGCCATGATGTTTAAACCTATATGTTCTGTAAGAAACCTCTGAGAGGTGGCAGCCCATTTATGAGTCTGAGGTTAACCAGCATGAGCTAACTGTGGTGTTCGGTCACCACAGAAAATACACTTCAAGCTCATTTAAAGAAAAAAAAATCCAAAACAAAACATCAGTCGTGTTTTAAAACACTCTGTGTATTAAAGTTGGGCTGAGAACTGATTGTCGTTTGGACCGGACCGGATCGTTTTACCAGAAAGCGCAAGAAGCTGCTGGGATTTTTCTGACAATCGCAGATGTTTCTGTTTATGTCGTTTGGCGGCATCTTTGCTCTGAGATGTCTGTCAGTGTTTCCATCGAAATTATTCAGCACAAAAGACCATGAATCTTCAGATCAGAGGGAAAGTATAATTTGGAAAAAATAATACAAAAAAAAGGGAAAAGAAAACTCATTTGTCTTCACTTGGCCCCAGTGGAAACGGTTGTGGAAATTTATTTTCCCAAAAAAGAATTGGCAAGCTGTAAAAACTCTAAATAAAGAAAAAAATGCAATGGTTTGAAAATCATTAAAAGCCCATATTTAATTTAAAAAATGATATAAAAACAACCTGTCAGTTGGAGAGAATTGAAAGCACAGTTTGGACAGAAGCATATTTACCACTTTGTTGCATCATCTCATCTTTTAGCAACTCTGTTAGAGTCTGAAAAATCAGACCACCTAAAGTTTTAAAGACTGAAATGTTTTTTTTTTAATTGTTTCTTGCTATAAGATTTCAGCTGATGGACAGTTCAGAACATGTTGCATAAAGAGCCAGACTGCAGGAATGTGAAGTCTTAACCAGAGTTATAACACACAGAAAGTGGTTTGGCATTGTCTTGCTCAAAATAGCAAGGTATTCATTGTAAAAAAAATAAATACATAAAAAAATGACGCCCAAATTTCACATTTCTAAATTCTGATTTTCACAAACTGAGAATTTACTTCTTTTTTTGTTTTTATTATTAACCTTTATTTCATCAGGCAAACCCCACTGAGATCACAGATCTCTGTTGCAAGGGAGGCCTGGGCCTGCAGGTAACCTAACATGCATGTTTTTGGACTGTGGAAAGAACCGGAGTACCTGGAGAAAACCCACACAAGCATGAGGAGAACATGCAAACTCCACACAGAAAGATCCCGGGTCCAAACTACAAATCAAATCCAGGACCTCCTTACTGAGGCATTAGTGCTAACCACTGACCCATCGTGCTGCCATGTGGGTTTTATTTTGACAGGAATTGACTAAAATCAAAAGCAGCAGTGGGGGGTATAATAAACCAAAAAATTAGCTTTGCTAACTCATAATCCGCTAACTAAAAAGATCGCTTTGCTAATGCTAAGCATGTAAAAATTAATAGAGAGGCTAATGCTAAACATGTAAATCTTTGCAAAAGCTAACAGGTAATTGCTAACAGCTAATACAACTTTCACTCAGTCTGTGTCACGCATCTTTGTCTCCTTCCAGCTGAAGACCGGTGGGACTGATAACAACTTGTTGATGTTAGCATGTTAGCTGTTAGCAGGCTTAAAGTTGGTAATTTAGCGGAAGCTAATTGTCCGCTAACGGTTTTCAAAAATAGTGAAAAAGCTAATCTGCTTAACGAAAACTTTGTTCTGCTGTTAGTTGTTAGCTGAATAGCGAAACCATGCCCACTACAGAAAATCAGCAAGTTAGAGCAGGATGACCACTGGACCACCCTGACCCATTTCCTTCACGTTATTTTGAGTATTCCACGCTGAAACTCTCCCTGGATTTACTGTCGAAACTCTGGTCACCTGGTGACCAGATCTGGTGAGAGTTCTACAGAAATCCAAATTGAACTAGAAACAGGTGCAGCTCTAGCTTTTATATTGACTATTTACAGAAACCATCTTTCAGTGAAACCAGCCTTCTTTGAATAAATGCACATTACTCACCACATTGTAGGTTTTAAACAAAGGGGAAGTATGTGTTAACAATAACTCAGTATTGTTCCCTAATTTAGCTTAAAACCTGAGTTATAGCCAATGTTGCATTTGCTAAAGTTGATTAGCTGTGGCAGCCATCTTGAAGATGTACATACAATGATTACTTTCTGAGTGTTTCACTAAAATCCATCCAGTGGTTCATGGCAGAGTCAGTTATTTTATCGCCCACTGCCATTACCAGGCAGGTGATCATTTAAACCTGACCAGGGATGTCGATAAGTCACCTGAAAAAAAGCAAGATAAGCCCTGAAACTCACCATGTTGTAGTGGTTGTTGACACTCCAGAGGTATGGACAGTTGCCGGCGCAGAAATTGGCTTTGTACCCTTTTGGCTCGTGGATCCACTTCCAGTTGAGGTCACGCCTGAAGTCGATGTACAGCGAGCGCAGGCAGCAGCCCTGATCTGAGCCACTGAGACACACAAAGGCACACAAATTCAGCCCCAAATTCTGCTCCTGCTATATCTGTAGGCAGCCATTCAGATCTGGGTCATGGGAAAATGACACCAGGTTACAACCGAGGAACCAGCCATCACAAAGTAATGACTACACAAGGCTGCCAGAGCTTCCTCCTGCAGCACGAGGTAGTCTAAATAAAACCCTGCACGCCTGCACTCTAAACACAGGCTCACTGCTGTTAGTTTGGTCTCACAATAGTCTGCAAAGTGGGTCAGGAAGGAAAAAAGAAAGAAATCCACCACAGCTATACGTTAAATTTACAGAAACTCTGGAGGAGTTGCTGTCAGTCAGAGCAAACTGCACACGAGTGGCCAGCTGGCGGTTTACCGGGAGCAGGTTGTGGTGTCTGTGGCGGCAGCCCTCTTCTTTCGGTTCTTCCTGGCCGGGTTGTCCACTCTGTCACTGGGCAGCAGGGTGAGGATGAGGTGTGGCGTCTTGGTGCTGAAATCTGATTGGCCTTTAACCTGACCTGGCTTCCTCAGCTGACGAAGACGCTCATCGTCCACACCTACAGAGAGAGGGCCCAAATGTGACGGTCAGGACAGAAAACCAAAGATAATCATTATTTCTTAAAGAAAAAGAAAGGAGTTTGACCCTTTTTATTGATAAGTAGTCTATGAGATCATAAAAGTCCTATAAAATAAAGTTTAGATCTTTTAAAAGGGAGTTATAGAAAATTTTCAAACAATTAATATGCCCTGTATTTTTTTATACTTGTTTTTCCAAAATGTTTTTTGCTGTCTAATTACTTCTGCATACATTGTGCTTGTTCAGTGGTGAAGTCTGCAGTCCTGTAATCCTGAAGCTGCAGTTTTGAGCCCAGGTTACTCAGGTTGGGCATCCGGCATAAAACAATTAATACTTTTAGTTTTTGGGCAGCTTTTTGTACTTTTAGCCAGCATTTTGATACTTTTAACCTCTAACTGGCCTTTGAATAAATATTCCTTTGATTTCTTTAGCTTTTAGCTAATGCTACTTTAAGGTTTTAGCTACATCTAGTTTTTAGGTAGTGTTTTGACACATTCACTAGCTTTTAACTGGCCTTTATTACATTTTGTTGTTTTCAACCTTTTTCTCATTTTTGCCTTCAACCAGGCCTTTACTATTTTTAGCTTCTAAATGGTCTTTCAATACTATAAATATCCCTTCAATATTGTTAGCGTTTAGCTTGCATTTTGCTATTTTCAGTTTTTATAAAGCTTTTAGCTACTTTTTGCTTGCTTCAAATTGATCTATTTAGCTTGTAACTAGCCTTTTATTACACTTTGCTGTTTTCTACCTTTTTGTTATTTTACATCTCTTTCTACTTTTAGCTAGTCTTTTGCTTCGTTGAGCTTATAGCTAAGCTGTTGCTGATTTTTGATAGTCCAGTTTCAGCTTGTTTAAAATTTTATGAAAACATTTATCCCTCAGCATTTACTCTCTGATTTCTTACATGTTGTAAAAACTTTTAGCCTTTCTTAGACTAGCCATTAGCTTGTCGAACTGAGGTCGCTCAAAAAGCCATCTAAATCAGGTAAGATATTAATTGTTGATACATTTTCACAGAACCCCCAAATTAAAAAGTATCAGGATGAAATCTTAATTCTTACACTTTTTTAAACTCTCAGTGGCTGTAAACATTCAGCAAAGGTGCAGATAAAGATAGGATTTTTCTTCTCCAAAGATTGTTTTTCTCACGACGCAGTAATAGGATTAATTTGTTTTACAGATTTTTAAGTTTACCGAGGAGTAAACTGATGAAAACAAAAACGAAACGCAGATGTTCTGATGGCCTTGACAGTTTGTCTGGCTGCTTGACGGTTCTGTCTCTTTCTGAGCCACAGGAGCACAACAGCGAAACACAAGCCCCTGCTTGTCTTACAACAGGATCAGAAATTGCATTAATTTTTTTCCAAGACTGAAAAAAAAAGAAGTATAGAAAAAAAGTCCCAACTTGGCAGAGCTGAGTGTAAATCCTGAGAGTGCTGTAATTTGAGGGGCAACATGAAGCAACACAGACAGTCTGGTGTTAAACAGTATCTCAGTGTGCGGAGGAACAGTTCCACCTTTATTCCTGCAACATGGCGTGCGAGTCGCTCATGTAACACTCTCATCTTTATGTTCACGACTTGCGACCCACAGGATCGCTGCTATTAAACGAAGTCCAAGAACTCCTTATAGAAAAGCAAATCACCTGCCAGAGTTTCACACTGAGATCATCTTGTGCTGAGAAATGATGAAGTAGTTGCCGTTTGTGTCAAAGCTTTAAAATAACGTTACTGTAAACACGATCGAATATGATCATATAAGATGTCACACTCAGAGGATGTGTTGAGAATGACCCTCAACTACTACCACATCAAGTTTTAGGTAAACGTTTAGCATCGATGGTTGAGTTTGGCTTCTCTGTTGCAAACATTAAAATCAATGGCGAGCACAACTAACCAAAAAGTTAGGTCCGCTAACCACTAAACTGTTAAACAAGAATCTCAGCTGCGCTAATGCTAATCCGCTAAACATAAACATTTAGAGGAAGCTAATGAGACTGCTAAGACAATTAGTGGGACTGATACCAATTTGTCATTAGTTTTTTTTTATTGGCTTAATTTGAAGGTGGGTGGGATCATTTGTGGCAAATTGGCCAATCCAAACCAGAGTTATAGTGCCATCTAACTTGTGACACTTCCAGTTTACCCCTTTCAGAACAAAAACATGTCTTTGATCAAGTTTGTATTTATATAAATACTGTTTGAAGATTCGAACAACAAATAGCAAATTTTGTAGAAGCTAATCAGTCTTTTAATGGTTTCCAAAGCTAGCAAAAAAGCTAAGTGGCTAGATGAGACGCTAGTTCTGCTACTAGTGGGTTAGCAGAACTGTTCCCACCACTGACTAAAATCATTCTAGTCAGGCTGAAAGGTTTCCTACACTGATGTCAAACCAAAACATGAAACCAGCAGCAGCTCACCAGCAAACAGCGCCTCCAGCTCCTCACTTTTGTTGGGGACGATGTTGTTGGTGGACGGGACAAAAGTGCAGCAGGGACAGTGGACGCCAAGCTTCAGGCCAAGGTTGTTCTCTGAAGAGGAAAAAGTTCAGACAATGAGCTTACCTTTCAAACCACACAGACAGAGTTACGACTGGCTCAGAACCAGACCTGGATCAGACACCCAGTCTTTAACAGTTTCTGTGACGTCCACAGAGATCCAGACTCCCTTGGCTCTTGGCTGAACGGTGCGGGAGTCGATGTAGCGCTGAGTGGAGGTGCTGTCTTCCTCTGGTCTGAGCAGCTGAAGACACAAACACATTTACAGGTTTAGATCCAACAGAATGTTTACTGGTTTCTATTTTTAACTGTTTTAATGTCCTGAAATTAAATTGTTGTGAACAAAAGACAAAACGATCTCTGAATGTTCCAAATGTGTTGTAGTGAATGCTTCAGCTTCATAATTGTATTCTTGTGTTTTATAATTTCAAACATTTTTGCAGTCTGAATATGTGGGCTAATTTAGTTCATCTATCAACATTTTTGGATCATTCTGGAAATTTAGTTTTTTTTGTAAGTTTTCAACCTTTCAAATAATTTAGCTTTATTTACCAACATTTTTCCCACAGAACAGGCTGAAATTATTCATTTCTGTTAACATTGTTTTCTGAAATCAGCATGTTTGTTCTATTTTTGTCTTTTTGTGCTACTTTTAGCTAGCTTTTTGAAATTTTTTTAGAAATTTTTTATCTTTTATATAACATTTTGCAGGTAATATTTTCCTACTTTTAGCTAGCCTTTTGCTACTTTTAGCTTTTAGCTGGTTTTATGCAAATTTTACCCAACATTTACCTTGTTTTAGCTACTGATTTGTTGTTGGCTAGAATTTTTTTTTTTTTACTATTTCAGGATTTTAGCTAGCCTTTTTGTTACTTTTAAACGGTAAATGGACTGCACTTATATAGCACTTTTCTATCCATCCAGGACACTCAAAGCTCTTCACACTACAATCTGTGCCCTCATTCACACAGCACTCTATCAGAGATCCTACAAAGCTAACATGTACAATCAGCTTTGGAGACTAATCAGTGCCAATCACATCAATACACTGATGGGACACACATCAGAGGCATTAGGGGTGAAGTGTCTTGCCCAAGGACACAACAACAACTGAGAAAGCTGGACGGGGGATCAAACTGGTGACCTTCCGGTTCCAGGACGACTCCCCCAACCACTCCCACTTTTAACTAGCCTTCACTTACTTTTAGCGAGTGTTTTGCTAATTTCACCTAACATTTTCTTCATTTTAGCTGTTTTGTTACATTTAATTAGTATTGTTTTTCTACTTTAGGGTTTTAGCTAGGCTTTTTTAGTCTGCTAAGCTAGACTTTTGATACTTTTAGCTAGTGTTTTGTTTATTTTAACTGAAATTTTCCTCCTTTGATCTAATGTTTTGTTACTTTTGGCTAGCATTTTACTTCTTTTAGGTAATGTTTTTGTAATTTTATCTAACATTTTCCTAGTTTTAGCTACTGTTTTTTTACTTCTAGCATTTTACAAATATTTGTCTGGTACTTTGCTACATTTGGTAACATTTTGCTTTGTTTACCCTTAGTTAGCTTTTTCTCTCTTTAGGCTGTTAACTAGTATTCTGCCAATTTTAGCTCGCATTTTGCTATTTTTGGCTTTTGGCTAGTATTTTGCTTCCTTTAACTTTTAGCTTTAGTGTTCACCTTTTAGCTTTAACAACTCAGCTTGAGCCTCTTCAGCTTGTTGTATCATTTCAGCTACATTTTGACAGCACTTCTCTGCGGTCACCTGATAGAGCTCCACTCTCTGCTCCGTGGCCCGGGCCTGCGGGTTGGGGGCTCTGAAGATCCTGAACTCGGCCTTGACCAGCGTGCTGTTGATCAGGTCCACCTCGTTGACGTCGAAGTGGACGACTCTGTAATGAGCGTTGGGTGCTGCAGGCTGCACAGCGTCTGGACGGAGGAGAAATCAGAGTGAGATGATAAAAGCCCGCTCCTCCTCAGACTGTGGGACCGAGGCTTTGTCTCGGACATAATTACTGATGAGGAACTGAATTACAGGCTGCAGCTGAAACGTGTTGGCTCTCATGTTGAACGGATGGCTGACTGATGGGTTTTACTGAGTGAAAAAAAATCACCTACAGTTGTGTAATTATGGCACTGAACACAAAATCTGTCAAACCCAAGTGTCAGCTGCCACCACAAAACTCTGAGTGCCTTGCTCAGGGGTTCCTCTGCAGTTCTCTCCAGTAGCAGAGGGCATACTAATAACACATTTCTTCTTCTGTAAATGTCTGTAATGCCTGAATAAAAAAACTTTTCAACCATTCTAGCTGCCTGGAACTATGAGGATGGAGCAAAGCGGTCATAAACACAAAGGTTGAAGGTAAAATTCCAGGGTAATTTAAGTGTGTTATTCCGAAATATTGTGTTCACATAAGTGCTCGGAGTGAAGTAAAGACCCACACCTGATGCGTGACTCTGTCTTCCTTTTTATTTCATTTGAAAAATCAAAAGAAAACCCAACAGAGAGCTGCTTCTGTTCTTTGAAACAGTTTTTGAGAGGTAAGACAGAGTCCCGTTTAAAGGATCAAAATCAAAACCACATTGTGCCGTCATACAGCGCTGTGCAGAAATCAATGAGTCATGCCTCATTTTTCAAATTTAGCTTGGATTTTGGCTTGTTTACACTCATTTTCAATCTAGTACTACTAATGTCAAATACCTTTTTTATAAAACTTTGGCCTGAAAATCACTCAGAGGCTCCTAAACTTAAAGGATGAACCAGTTTGGTCTTGGTATGTCAAACTGATCTGTTACCAGCAGCCTGTCATGATTCTTTAATTCCCAATTCTGGACTCATTAAAAAAACTTTTAGTCCCAACAAAGTGATTCTCAAAGAGCTATGGCTGTAAACTTATACAGAACACTCTAAAGAGTTAAATTTGAGTTAATCTTAATTTCAATGCTCTTACTTGACAACATAATCATTACTTTTATATTTAAACCAGCAGGTTCAGTGGAACGAGTTGATGCATTAAAGTTAATATTTATTTTTATTTTTAGATAAGCTGTCTTGCTCTTTTTTTTTAAATTCCTGACTTCCTGTTTGTCTGCTGCAGGAAGTTTTTTTTCTTTGATCTTGAACTTTTATGTTTTACTCTCTTCATCTTTTTAATCACACACTACAATATGAGCAGGTAGACGACAGACAGGACTTGGGTTGGGCAAAACCGTATTGTGTGCAATTAATCATCAGAAAAACTGTCAACAATATTTGCCACTTTGCAGTTAACACAATTAGAACCACGTGACAATAACGTATTTTTGTGCATGGCACACTCTCACTATACACTGTAAAAAATGAAATGTTGGATTTACTTAACCATGTTATGTGACCTGGTTCCACTTAACTGTAAATTCAAAGCAATATACCAGTTTTTTAACCAAAGAACATGAGTATGTTGCTTTGAATTTACTCAACTCAGTTAAGTGGAACCAGGTCACATAACATGGTTAAGTAAATCCAACATTTCATTTTTAGAGTGTGTGTGAGCCCGAAGTATAATGCATTAGTAAAGGCATGCTGCACTCCACAAAAGGTGGGTTTCAACTCAGTTTATTTATTTAACCAATTAAAATGAAGAAGTTAATTTGATAATTTGTATGTCATTTCAAAGCACAAAGTAACTGATATGGAGTCAAAACCAAGCGTCATTAATCATCACATAATCGTTGCTAAATGCCACAAATAACCATTATTATTATTATTATTATTATGTTATTGTTTTATCAACAACCTTTTGGACTGAAAATAAGTGAAAAAGTTAAAAACCTTCAGAAAATATTCTTATCAAAATCATGTTTAAAAGGTTAATTTTAAAAGGTTTGTCACACTGAAACCAAAGCATGAAGAAATGAGGGATGATGCATTATTCCAAAACTCCCTCCCCAAGGCCACCCGAGGCCCGCGGACCACACATTGAAGACCCCCTGTCTCTGACGTCACTCACTTGAGTCCGTGCGCTGGGGCAACATGTCGATCCTCTGCACCTCCTTGGCGTAGTAGTCCTCCTCGCTGCTCTCGCGCTCGCACGCGGACTCGGCGAGGCGCGCGCGCTCCTTCAGCAGCTCCCGCGTGCTGTTGTAGAGCAGCATGACCTCGGGGGGCACGGAGCCGGGCGGCGGGTCGTCGTCGTCGTCGTCGTCCGGGGGGCTGCGGATCCGCAGCTTGCTGAGGATCTGGCCGCGCACCGCCTCGATGCGCCGCGACTTCTGCGCCTCCAGGTTGATGGACTGGCACGTGTTGATCCCCTCCACCAGCGGGACGCCGGAGAACCGGAGCAGCAGCAGCAGCGGGAGGCAGAGGAGCCACATGGTCTGACAGGACTGAGGAGAGGATCTGCTGAAAACTCTTAAAAATAAAAAAATAAATAAAAACGCAAAGAAACGTGCGCGCAAAGTGGTTCAAAAAGCCGCTCTGAGGTTTGCGCCTGTAAATGCCCACTTCTAATCACTCATAAAAACCAACCAGTGGAAATAAAAACATGTCTTCTTGTCTTTCTGCTAACCTCTACTTTTGATTAATTTGAAACCCTTTCATCCACCTACCAACATGGACAAAACAAGGACATGAAACGAATCATTGTTTTAAGATTTAAGTTACTGAATGTAAAAATCCATAAATCACTGAAAACTCAGAGAAAATGATTTCCTCAGTCAAACTGTTGCGTCAAAATCTTTCTGAGTGCGCGCGCATTCTGCAGTAAAAAAGGTGCAATTCGCAACAAAGTTATCTTTCCCTCCGGTCGTCCATCCTCGCGTATGTCGGCAGGTTTCAGGAGAGCAGAGTCCTGACAGGAGCTCAGCCCATGTCGCGAATCCTCCAGACGAAAAAAAAAAACTTCTGAGCTGCGTCGATTTTAACCGAGGCAGCGCAGCGGCTGCGCCAAGGCTCCTGAAAGACGCATCTGTGGCGCAACAAACAGGTCCATATCCAGCAAACACAACTAGGTCCTCAGGCCCGCGTGATCTAAGCATGAAAACAAACTAGGAGTCCTCGTTGTGTTTTAAAGCAGCTTCAGCCTGATGTGTGCTGAGCTGAAGGCTCTGAGACCTGCAGCGTGATGCGCCTCCATGATCCTGCTGCTCCTCAGTGAGGAACCAGCTCCAGACACGTCTCAGAGGGAGGAGGAGGAGGTGGTGATGGTGGGGCGGGATGCCATCAGGGTGGAGGGACTGTGTGTGTGTGTGTGTGTGTGTGTGGAGCCAAAATCCTCCCTCCTCTCAGCAGAAAGAAACCTGTACATTTTGCAGTTATTACCCTCCACAAAAATGCTGCACCTCCTCCTCGCTCCGCAGCTAAACATCTCCACAGGCCCTACTTGTCGGTGTCACACCATAATCTGTGACCCACATCCCCACAGGATTATTACAGTGGTTGATGCCTTTTGAAGCAGATGAAACTATATTTATCTGCTGCTTATTCTGGTAAATATTTGTTGACGCAGTAAGGTCACAGGGTTAACACTTCAAGAAACCCCCTGCGTGAAAACACTTTGCTAAAACTGACCGAAAAGAACAAATATATCAATTTAGCAGAAAAAGTAAGGAAATGCATTTCTTTGTTGTAACGATGCTTCTTGGCAGTAAATCTCATACTGTTGGAAAGCCTGGTAATTTCCCTTTTAAATGGCGTCACATTTATAAGGAACATGCATTTGTGGGATGAGCAGTAGAGCTGAGTGCACATGAAAATTTTATCAACTCTTCTCTGCCAAACAGCTCATTCTGTTGACACCTGTTCTGAGCTTCTGGTCCCCGCAGGTGAGCATGGCCCCTGCTACAGTGGTCAGCAGGTATCGACTCCCAAAAGTCGGCCATGTTTGACAGGGCAACACCGAGCTGGCGTTCCGCAAAACCAAGTTGTGGCGTTATTTGGAGTGAGCCTCGACACCATTTCCAAACTGAAGGCCAGGTTCCATTCAGCGGGGGGAGGTCAGGGACGGGCCGCCAAGTGGGTGTCCCAAGAAGATCGTTTCCTCACCCTGTCAGCACTTGTAGCTCATTGGCTCCCAAACTTTTCAGCTTTGGACCAACAAAATAAGAAGAGACCTGTGCCCCCCACTATTTTTGTGTGATAAACATTATCAGGTCAAACAAACAAGAGCACACTAACAATACTGTGCTTCTGTTGTCCATTTTAATTACACTAATCTCACTCTTTTGTAACTAAGAAAAAAATAGTTGTTTGTAGTCATTTTTAAATGTAATTAATTCTGAAAAGACCCCATGCCTTTATGATTCAGGACCTACAGTGGAGTCCTAACCCCAGTTTTGGGAACCACACGCTCCTGAGGCTCATGTTAGTAGTTAAAGTGTCAAAATGTCTCGTTTCTTCAAACTTCAATAATCCAGTCCACCAAACAGCTCAACAGCAAAAGAAGCTGTTTGGCAAATCGTTCACATGTGCAACCCTCATCCTCACCTCGACTGCTCACACAAACGCATGTTCCTTACAAATGTGGCACCATTTAAAAAGCATATTAACAGGTTTTCCGACGGTAAACGTTTTATTTCCAATCACTGTTACAACGAATAATCTACCACACACTTCCTTACTTTTTCTGCTGTTTATATTTAATCTGTTAAAATGTGGACTTCAGCTGATTTTCCTCTGTCCAGACTTTTCTTCAGATCTGATATAAAATGGTAATCTCTCCAGGAGGAAACAAAACATTAACATAAACAGGGCAGATCAGGTCGTTGAGCTACAAACCTCCAGAGATTTCAAACAAAAGTTTAGATTTTGAAGCTCCCAGTCATGGCTACAAATCCAAAACGTAACTTCATCGTAAAAATCTTGAAACCAGATTTCCTGCTCGGATGAAAGTGGAGTCGAGACACGCCAAAATGTTTTCTTCTGAAACAAAAATCCTGAATTATTAATAAAATGGGTCTCCAGACTGAGCTTCTTCTAAAAGCTCATTTTGCTGTTATTAGAACACTCCAAACCTCCCATCCTGCATTTCTCTATAGTTTTTCGAGCTTTCAGCAGAGCTCCTTTCTTTTCTGTCTGTTCCTCTTCAGTCTCATTGTTAATTACAGCTCAGCACTCGTGGAGGACTATTAATCTGCCAGGGGTGGCTTTTATTGCTGCTCTGCTGCCATCACATTATGCTGTTATTATAGCTGCGGGTGCAGGCCTGTAATTGCTGTAAGTAGAAGGGAAAGGTAGGAGAGACTCCGGCAGCCTGGAGGCTTCTGGTCAGGCCAACCCTTCCTTTCATCGTCTGTCCTGGCAGCGTTTCTAAAAATGATAATGCTGCCTGCGAACAAACGGGCTCCTGTTCAAACCTGACGGCTGCTGCCGTTTCAACCCAGAGGGACAGAAATCCTCAGAAAGGAGCTTCAGTCAGACGCCTCCGTCTGTCGGCGACGTCAGGAGGATACGAAAAATTGTGGGGGCATCTCAGCGGATCCCTCTAAGGTGGGGTGTGTGAGTTGTAACGTGTGGCTTTAAGAAGAGAGAAGAAAAAAAAGAAACTTCCTCAAAAACAACTTGCAGCCCGCCTGCCTTTTTTTTTGCCTCTCTTTCCTTAAAGCCAAATATAGACGAGCCACTGCCACGTCATCTCACCCTGAGAGAGGGCGAGAAGGGGTTCAGAGCAGGCCTCTCAGAACGTTTTTAATAAAAGGCAGTTTCCTTCATGAAAACCCGACGAGTTCGTCTGTCAGGAAAGTTCGGGCGGTTTTATTCAGAAAGAAAAAGCTCAGTTACAAAAATAAATACAGATAAAACCACTGTGGGGGTTACTGCTGGGGCATTTTTCCTTTTGTCATTTCCAGCCTCGGGCAACGTAAAGTCCTTAATTAAAACGTAAAAACAATGAAGCAGAGATTACTTTATGGCAACAATGCCTCTTTTGAAAACAAACAGTCTGGTCGGGGTGAGAGTTTTTGTGTAGGAACCAGCTAGACCTCGTCTTCATTCAGCAGCATGTTGGGGATTCCTTTGGAGATGGGAAACTCTCGACCCGATTCAGGACACTGAAGACATCCCTCCAACACCTCCACCTGCAGCACACAGAGACGTGCAACATGAGAAAACACACCTTTCCTTACAAATCATCTTCATAGCTCCACTTATATACTTTACTTTTCTCAGCTGCCTGACCTACTAAAATAGTTATGTAGAAGGAAAGGAGTGTATTTGGGTAAAACAATATACTCCCAGAGGCAGAGACAAAAAAAAAAACTTGTTAGTGAGGAGGCTCTAGGAGAGGATTTATGAACAAATAAATTCACTACAAAATAAAAAATGTCATAATTTACTGTCATGTTTTATGTTAGTAAAGTATCTTATAGTACATATCAATGGTACTAATACATATATAGATATACTGTAACTAGAGAGGACCTCAAGGTGGAAGCTGAAGCCACCACATCAAGCGCCCCCTGCTGGACTGTTTGCAGTTCAAATGTAAGCCCTGCCCCTCCAGATGAAAGGGGATTTTAAAATTGGATGAAGGTTTTGAGAGTTCAGTTCCTCAACATGAGCCCACTCTGATCAGGTGTGGACAGTTCCTTCGTTATGTCACTGAATTAAACTGCGTCTGAAATGTTTTGTTCAAAATTCATTATGGTTATGTGCAGAACCTAACTAGGAAAATGTCTGTCCAAAGAGATATGGACCCAACTCTGTGTATAAAAATAAAAATCCTGGGAATGCTGTGGGATCCCCAGGAGGAGCTGGAGTGTGCTGCTGGGGACAGGGAGGTCTGGGTTTCCCTTCTGGATCTGTTGCCTCTACAGGAAATGGATGAAACTAGTGACAAACAGTGGCTGCACCACTAACACTTTGTTTCACTCTAGTCAGAGTCAGACAGACCTTTATTTAGTACAGCAGGGCAAATATTCAAAACCTTGCGTTTCTTAAAAGGGACCCATGATTAGTTGTTACATTAGACTTTATTTAATAAACATATATTTTAACTGTAAAATAAAGACAGTAAAAAATACTGTAGGCTGTTTAGTTTTTATCATTTTTAAATTAAAAGTTTAAAAATATATTACACGAACGGGGCCGTTTTATTTAAATGCAAAGCATTCTGGGTAAATGATGACATGAATAGGTCCTCGGTACGAGGCTGCTAGCGAGCTATATCCACCCTGAAGGTTAATCTTGGACAATATCTGATGATCGACTCTTTTAAATGRAACCAGAGAGCGTTGACAGAGAGGAGAAGGTAGAAATGACTCAGCCTGGAACTGAAAATATGGATGGAGGACCTCAGTTTAGCTTGTTTGTTGCACTAGCTCCAAGCTAATATATATTAGGCAATATAAGGTCGGCGCTAGTGCAAAAGCTAACAGGCTAAGCTGAGGTTCTTCTTCCATGAAGCAGCTCTGTTGTCCGCCATCCATATTTTCAGTTACAGGCTGAGTCATTTCTACCTTCTCCTCTCTGTCAACGCTCTCTGGTTTCATTTAAAAGAGTCGATCATCAGATATTGTCCAAGATTAACCTTCAGGGTGGATATAGCTCGCTCACACCGAGGACCTATCCACGTCTTCATTTACCCAGAATGCTTTGCGTGTAAAAATGGCTCCGTCCGTGCTAATTTTTTTTTAAAAAATTTACAAAACTAAACAGCCTACAATATTTTTACAGTCTTTATTTTACAGTTAAACTAAATGTTTATCAAATAAAGTCTAAAGTTACAGCTAATCATGGGTCCCTCTAAAGGTGATTACATAAATGAGTCAGAGAACAAGAGCTTTACGTGCTTTATTTAGAATAAAAACACTAATGTAAACATAATGACATTAAGTTATAGAGCAGACTTGAATTAGGTTTAGTTAATTAGTTTTTTTAGTTTTATTTCCTTCTGTAATTTTACTTCTTCCAGTCAAGCTCGGTCCAATAAGACTTTAACAGAAGAGATTGAAACCACACTGTGGACAACAAAGTCTTTACAACTTTGTTTGCAACTTGGGAGAAAAATCTCTGCAGCCAAAACCTCTAAAAAGACTTTCCAGCCGACAACAAAACAACAACAACAGTTGGTCTGTGTCATGATTGAAAATACACAGAACTGCACAACACTCAGCCAAATGAACACGTTGAAGTCATGAAATTTATTTAAGGAAAAAATATAACAGACTGAAAAAAAACATAATTTCATCCAAACTTGATATGTATTTAAAAAATCATGTGAAATGGGAAAAAGTTTAGTAATTGTTTTTAATTTACTGTAAACTGGTAAATTGTTTTAAAAAAAATCTATATTAACGATTGTTTATTAATACCAAAGATAAATACCTAATTTAAATAAACTAATTAAAATAGGTTTTACAGGAACATTAAGATATTAACCCAGAAAAAAAAAAAAAATCAGGAACAGATCCTGCAGCTCTTTACCTCCATCAGAACTCGGTGAACTTTCTTCAGGAAGTCTTCGTTTTTCTCGTAGTCTGGCACCAGCTCACCTGGTAGGTCTTGTCTATGACCCAACTATGGGGAAGAAAAGAAAAGGAAGAGCCGTCGTGCATATTTATCATGAAGATGTTTAATATAACAGAAATTGGTCTTTAACACGGCACAAACACAAAAAGACTCACCTGATCTGCAGCCTGGACCAGAGCGCACCACTCCAGTTTGGGGATCATTCGACAGACAAACTGAGGATTGAACTCCACCTCGTTCACCTTCACCTCAGTGGCCTGAAGACAAATGATGAAAAGGAGCAAACAACATGTGCAGTTATAAGTAGAGAACCGGAACTTCTGTGCCGTTTATTCAGAACCCTTCATCAAAGGGAACTGAGTTCTGTTTACTGTTGGAAATAACTTCACCTGAGACAAAGTCAAGCAGTTTTAAAGTTTATTTGGACTTCTTTAATTTAAACCTTGCCCCATAATTTGAAGTTACACAGAAAGTACAGAAAATTTAATGAACCAAAGTCAAATGAACAGCTGATAGTACATTGATAGTATACAACAAAAATGTTAGATTAAAGGTAAATACATTTTAATAAGTTCTCCAATACGACAGGAGCATGTCAACAATTGGCTCAGAATACACAAAGATGTAAAAAGACTGTTCCTGAAAACCTGGTCATATTTTAAAATTTTGTTTTCATACTCAAACTAAAATATAAATGACGATGTAGATGCGAGGATTGGTTACATCTTTACTGACATTGTTCTGAAAAGTTGCTGAGTCAGATGGTACATCCTGAATAAAAACAACAATAAAGGCCCAGTTTATGCTTTTGTTTCCTTTTTTAGGGTCAATAAAATTAATAACATAGTTTTTTTTTGTTATATGAACTTATTCTTGGGAAAAAAGGGGCAGATATAAGATTTTTTTCTTCTCTCTGCTGACTTTCATTTCATTTTATTTGTGATTTATATAATATATATTTTTCTTTTTATTGTATATAAAATTATTTTGTTTTAATTAAACGAATAAAGAATTGAAACATGAAACATAAATTAATTTTAAAAAGATGTGACCTCAAGTCTCCTGCAAATAAAATCTAATTAGTGCCAATTGATTTGAATATTTTGCATATTAAATCACATTTATATATCAGTTTTAAATTTGTTTTAGTTCAGTTACCAAGAAAATTGTTCATCAATGAACAAAGCTCAGCCAAAATATTTTTTCATGTTTTCAGAATTTAGCAAAACTGAGTTCCTCTTTTTATGCACAAATAGGAGACTCAAAGAAGCACAAAATACCCATAACAGAAAAAGAGGCAAACCTGTGTGTGCTTAAAATAATAATAATAATAATATTAATAATAATTTGAAGGTAACGCTTTACCATTTTCACAAGACAAACAAAATTTTAAATTACCTTCCTTATAGATAAAAAAGGTATTTAAAAAGTCAAATAAAAACAGTAAAGTACATTAGCTATATGTATAAACAAAGCAATAACATTAATTGTTGTGAAAACTAAGAAAAACAAGCTGCTCTGATTTTGACACAAACAGACGTGGGTTAGCATTAGCTGCGCTGCTAGCCGAGCAGGTTACCTTAATGAGCAGCGGGTATCCTTTGATGACCCCTTTCACGTGAGACGTCAACATGTTGTGTGTGAGCAGCTTCATGTTTTCTAACAAATACAACAAAAAACTGAAATCAAATTAAAAATCACTAGATAAAGGGTTACTTTCTCGACTGCATACAACTCACACGCTTGTGCGTACCGGAAGTACTGCTGATGCACCGCATAAAATCTTCCGACTGAATCCGACTCCGCTACTTGATCTTAGTTCCTAGTATTTTACTTTTTATATCTTCTTGTACTTTCCGTTGAACACCGATCAACATGACTAGTATATTTTTCTTAATCATTTATCATTAGTATTGAGAGAAAGATACAGATTAAAAATAAAACAAAATCTGCTCTCAAATGGGAAAATCCCCTACATCTTGGCTTAATGAGCCAGATGTTGGAATACTTTTAAATGGTTTTGATTAAGACTTCTTTAATACAATACTGCATTTGTATGAGACTGGGCAAAATAATTTATTCCTCATGTTTACAAAGAGATGATCCTATGCCACAAAGTGTTGCATGTAAATCACACTGGCTTTTTCCTGTAAATTTTGAAATAAAATGTAAACAGAATTGCACTAAAACCACACAAAAGAAACATATTTGTTTTGTTAAGAATTGATAGCAAAAATATTCAGACCAAACAGATTTTATATTCAAAAATTTTTTTTATTTTTTGTAATAACTTGTATATTTGTTTTTTTCTTTTTTCTTTGTAATATACAGGTCAATCATACACTTTGATAGTAAATAGTAATTACACACGTGTGGTGTAAAAAGCATCAACCTGTCCCCTTCACAGACATGCATCATCCGCACACACAGACGCACAAATGATCTCATTCGCACATGTGCACTGAGAGGGAAGCATCTCCCTCACACACACTAAACAACAGAAGATAAAAATGTAAAACTACAAACTTTTCTTCCTCCATCATCACCAAATTCACATCCTCCCAACTCCTTTTTTGAATTGAACAATAACTATGTTTTAACAAAACACAATAACATAAAATACATACTGAAGGCAGCTAAAGATGTAAGCAAAAGAAGAAAAAAAAATTTTAAATTATAAAAAGGTTATTAGCCTTAAAAAGGTTATATCCCAGAATGTGGGATTAGACTTTCCATGGAAAACAGCGACACAGACGAGCTGACATCAGTCTGTTAAAGAGCAACTTTGAAGCTCTAACACAGCTTTTTATGCTACAGCTTTTAGAGGCTTCATGTGTTTCTATTCAGTCAGGTAATCTATGTTTAGTAGGGAGGGGGACAGGTTTCAGGAAGGCAACATAAACTAGTTAAAAAAGGTCACTCTGAAAGGTCTTATGGCACCGATAAAAACACTGAGAAGAGCAGGTGCATAGCAGGGTCAAAATTGAACACATGAATCACAAAGTCAGGATGAAAACCATCTGCCAACAAAAATAAATACATGTCAGCTAAAACATTCTGATTCCACTGTGAGAGTAAACAGAAAGAAACTGTCCTTTAGCTCTGCGGTGAAGCTGTTTGCAGCTTGAGACGAGTTAATCAGATTCTAAAGAGTCATTTCTAACATTAACCTCAAAGGTTTCTTACAGTATTACAAAAACAAAAAAACAAAAACAAAAACAAAACAAAAAAAAAAAACACATTGAAGTTTCTTATCATTCCAACAATACTTTTTCCTTCTCCGTGCACTTTGGAAAAAGCATGAAATTTGAATAAAAACAGTTTTAAGCAGTTGAAAGAAGTGTCAACAATCTGCGTCTTGTGATAATTCTGCCTGCTTCTGGTTTGACTGAAAAAAAAGCAACAAAACAAAACAAAAAAAAAACAGTGATATGTTAACACAAACAGGAATAATCTGTAGACTGAGGGAAATAAAATGAGGACAGATCTGGTGGATGAACAGAAAAATCATGTTTCTGTTTGATGAAGCGACAAAAAACACTGTCAGTAACTGCAGTACTAGTTAGTCTTTGCTTTGTTTTTTGCATTAGAGCAAACACGCACGCACGCACGCACGCACACAGACAGATACACAAATCCACAATCAACACCAGGATTCTCACAGCTGAAACTTTCCCACAACACAATCACACACTCGTTCTCACGTGCACAGACTCACACACCCAAACACACGGTCCTTATTCCTGCGTGTCCTCTGTGCGCCACTTGAGGAAATCCTCTTTCCGCGCGTCCGGTTTGATCTGGTTCCGCATGCCACCAAGGAGGTTGGAGGTGGCTTCGGAGGCTACAATCAGGGGTCGGACGACGGTGGGCGGGATCTGTCGCAGGACGCCGCCCACAGCGCCGGGGAGACCCTTCTGTTCGTGGCCACGAGACGCTACGTCACACAGGGTCTGAGCTGTGTCGATCACTCCCTGTGGCCAGAAAAGAGTCCAGGACAAGATGTGAAGAGATGGTGTCAAAATAAGACAAGTTTTCTTTATTATGCTATATAAAAAAAGCTATCAGTCACACAGACCACTTTCTTAATGGGTTGGGGTATCATGCAAAACTGACTGTTTTGAGCTTTAGATCATGTACCTATTTGTACAAAGCTCCTCCCTGGAGCTCAGTCTGCAGCCTGTTTCCTGCCCCACAGAGCAACCCCTCCCAGTGGACATCCTTCTGCCAGCTGTTTTTTAAAAATTAACCAGCTTTTAAATTGCCTCCAGCTCTTCTTCAAACTTATTTTAACAAATATATTCTTTGGGTCTCAGAAAAACATTGATTCAAATCAAGCAAAAGTTTGAGCACTGTTTAAAATAAAAGAATACATTTGTTAGAATAAGTTTGAAGAAGAGCTGCCCATCCTATTTTTGATTGGCTAGTAGTAGTAGGCTCAAATGAATAACTGACACCACTTCAGAAGCAGCAAAGCTACAGCTGTAATGTTCACTGGAAAGTGTCTGTGGGAAGTTTATTTCACGTCTCAGAGGTAAAGTTTGGATACGCACCTCTCTGACGGTGTCGTAGGCCTTGGCCACTCCCTCTCGGAGGTCTGCGGGCTGAGCGGCTCTTCGGGGTCTGCTGGAAGGGGCCCGGCCTTCGGTGATGGCGTAGCGGCTCAGGGGAGGCGTGGGAGACAAGATGTCGTACACGGTCTCTGCTGTAGCCTGTCGGAGAGGACACAGAAACAACGAGCTAATCCCGGCGTCCCTTCACTTTTTAACACGATGGAAAACCCAGCTCAGTCCTCCACAGGAGGAGTACCTGGATGGCCTGAACCAGCCTGTTGCTGAGCTCAAGGGCAGCCGACGCAGTGGAGGTGCCGAAGGAAGCTGCTCCCCTCTGGAGACCCCGGATGATGCGTCCGTCCTTCCTGTACTGCTCTATGGGCAGCCAGAACAGATCCCTCACTCCGTGGACTGAAGCGACGCAGCGAGGCGGAGGAGAGAGAGAACAGAAACAAGGATGAAGAACACGTTAAAGCTGTGAATGTTTTCATATCAGACGCTGAAAACTCACACAGCTGGACAACTGAATGCATGGGACCGACTCCTCCCAGAATGCCCGGCAGTTGATTCTTCCTGATGTCAGTCAGCCACTCTGTGACGGCGTACTGAATCACTTTGTCCACGCCGAGGAGACTGGAGACATTGCAGACAAAAATAAAATTGCTTTTTAAATCTACTCTCAGAAAATCAAACACAAATGACTCTCATCTGAACGTTTGATGTAACGACGGGTGTTCGCTGTGGAAGAGGAGCGTCTTTGTTCACCCGTGTCTGCAGCAGAGCCTCTTCAGCTTCAACTCAGAACAGTTCAACTGAGCCAGACCGATCAGAATCCCTGCAAACGTTCCCTGAGAATCAAAAAGCCACACAGAGACCTGATCAGGTCCAATGAAATCAAAGAAACGTCTCTGCTCAGAGCGGGGACAGAGGAGCTGTTTGAACGACCTCCCACCTGCTCAATGACAACGTGTTTGCCATGATAGTCCAGCCAGATAGGCACTTCTGAAGTAAAACGAAATTCCCTGAAAAGAACAGAGAAAAGTTACATTTTTACAATATCATCATTTTCATTATAGATACATTTTTTTGCAGCAGAAAAACATTTTAAAATTGAGTTCAACTTGGTTGAAACCTCTGAAGAATTACTGTCTACACACCGGAAGTAGATTGGCTGGTCAGAGGATGACGATGAGCCAGCAGAGGAGGAGCTCTGCTCACTGTTTGTAGTTTCTACAGACGCAGAGAGGTCAGGTCCCAGACCAGCAGCTGGATCTGCCTCTTCAGAGCCCTTCTGGGAGGGATCTGCCTTCACTGTGAATAAAAATGAACAAACACTACATTTAATTTTAGACTTTTTAAAGTATAAACTAGTAATATTTAAAAAAAAACATTGACTGAATCTTTATAAACTTGCTCTGCAAGCAGTGGAAATAAAAGGTTCAGATCAATAACATACACCGCTCAGTTTAAGTAATCAATACCAAACATGGAGGCAGAATTCAGTTTTTATGCTCCACTAAACTCCCAGAAAACTGTAAGAATGCGGAAACCCTGAAGGCTTAAAGTCTGTGCTCCAACTTTTCTTTACCTTCCTTTATTTTGCCACTTTAAAGTTTTACATTTTTATCATGTAAAACTCTGAACTGACTTGTTGCTGAAATGTGTTGTATAAATAAACTTGCCTAATGTTAATGGCAGATCTTGTCAAATGTAAAACTAATGAAGCTGTAATACCCACCTTCAGCTGCAGAGTCCACAGGCAGGTAAGGGTTAACAGAGGAAGCTAGATTACTAAAAAAGTCCTTCAAGAAAAACAGTGCATCCTGGGAGACGGAGGAGAACAAAAAGCTTTGGTTAGATGTGATGAACGTTTAGAGGAGCTGCATAAACTTCTGTCAAAATAAACGTAATGAGAAATAATCTGCAATGACCTGTGAAACCTGAAACGCCTCGTTATACTCGAGAAAGTGAAAACACAAAGCAAATATTTAAATAACGTCCAGTTCAGAGTGACCTACAGCTTTTTTCTCTCATTTTATCTGATTTATTACACATTCAAATACAAATGTTTGGTTCTAATCAGTTTGGAAATCATGAAACGTGACTGAAAATAAAGCATAAATTTGATTTTGTGTAAAATGTTTTAATCGGTCGCTCTGTGTCAGTTCATACAGAAAGTGGATCTGAAGACTGAAAAGAGATCTCGGAGTTACCTGGTCGATGTTGAGCCGTAGAGGCAGCAGACTGACCCGCAGACAACACTCAGGACCGCCAAGACCAGATTCTGGTAATACTTGCAGGGCCTTCACAGTCAGCTGCAGTGAGGACAGATAATTAGAAAACTTTTACAACTCAGGAACTGTCACAGCATCTTATCTGACAGCGTGTTTACATTCTCAGCTGTTTGAAAACGTAAATATTCTCAGTTTTTCCACTTCCTCCCTGCAGTCTCACCATATTGGAGTGAGCTCTCCGTGGCATGCTCTCGCTCGTGTAGAGGTAGAGGAATTTGTTGATTTGTGAAGAGGCCAGCCTGTCTCGAACTTCCAGCTCCTGGACGATGAAAACCTGCCTGGAGAGGGGCTGCTCCCCATTGGGAAGGACCCCCGCGACCGCCACGCCCTCCCCGTCCTGCCCCGCTACTGCCACTGGGTACGACTCGTGTTGGAAGGACACCTCGAGAACACAACAAGAGGAGCGTGTTTATGAATAACAGTGGAGACAAAACACTAACAGGTTGTTTTCAGGAGACGTCACAGTGCAGTTACAATGAGAGGTGTCTGAAAAAACAGCTCAGGTTTTGTGTAGTTTATGGTTGCTCCAATCGTTCTGACAGAGGAAGGGTAAACAGTTATTAGAAATTACCAAAGATCATCAAAGACAACAGTGAGAAATGTAGAAACCTCACAGAACAATGTCATAAAAAGTGGATTTTATTTGTCTATGCTCAGGAGGAGCAGAGTCCGCTGATGCCCGAGTCTGCAGCCACCACTTCAGAGGTACGTTAGAGTCTTATATCGTTACTTTACTTTTTTAAATAATTTACTTTAAACAGGAAGAGAAGCAGCATGTTTCTACTTAATGCGTTCCTCAGTGTTGACGAGAAAGATCCCATCCCCAGGGGTGTGACCAGGGTGGTCTTAAATCTTATGTTTTACGAAGACTTAGCATGACCAGCAGCTGACTGAGAAAAGAACTTGGTTTTCTTATTCTGGCATCCAATTACTGAACGCTTTCTTACAGCATGTTAGCTAGCTAACTTGTTCTTTGTGGCTGTTTATTAAAGCATTAACACTTGATCTCTGACAGTGGTTTACCTTGAAACATCAACGACTGTCCGGTTAAGGTGGTCATAGTGTGTCGTTAGTTGATGTTAGCTGCTACTGCTAGCATCTTACCATAAACATTATAGGAGCAGTTACGCTGGTGAAGACCAAATCATAATCATCATGGAGGTGTTTGGGACCGAGGTTCTGACATATTTGTGATCTAATTGCTGATATCTTTGTCTTCAAACTGGATCTAAATCAGTACTGTTAGTTAGTTTAGTTCAAACATGTATAAAAAACAGAACAAAAAAATGATAAAAAGTGATAACAAAATTAACATATTTGAAAAGGAAAGGGAAGAAGTAAAAAACTTATTTAATCCCACCCTTCTCCAAAGCTTATTAAAAAATAATAGTAAATTCTTCTTTTTCTTTATTCTAAGTCACAATTTCATAAAGACTAAAACAACAATCTGTTTACCTACAAATTTATATAATACCATAATATATTCATAAACGTAAATGTACATCCACATGCAGTGAGTATGCATACACACATAAATGTATACATACACACATGTACACGCATACACAGCCCCAAACATCTCCATTTACAGCAAAAATAAATAAATACAAATAATCAGACACACTCAGCATCCCTATATCTTTTGAAAATAATATTTTTATTCCTCTCCTTACATTTTTTAATGTTTGGACATTCCTTAAGTTCCACACTCAGACTGTTCCAGTTTTACTCCAACAGAAATACAAAACTCTTTGTGAGTTGTATGAACAATCCTTGATTTAAAGTTAAACTGACTCCCCTCCCCTTCAACAAATAATTTCTGAACATTACCTGGTAATAATTTGTTTTTTGCTTTAAATGTTATTAGTGCTGTTTATACCTCTACCAGATCTGTAAATATGAGTAGTTTTGACAAAAAGAATAATGAATTGGACTGTACAGACTCTTTACAACGGTTTCCTCCGTAGACGGTTTACTTCCTGCCCTTCATTTGAAATGGCGAGTCATCAAAACCACCTGACTCAAACCGGGCTATTTCTCTCTGAAATCAGACTAAAAGTGCTCATTAACATGTAGTTGTGGTGAACAGGAGTACCTTGGTGAGCTGGATTTCCATCAGCAGCGTGTGCTGACGGCCGCTGCCTCCAGTCCAGCGCCATGAGTTCTGTGGACGGGAGGAGGCGACGGAGCGAGATGGAGACGCACGGACACCAGCGGGGACGGACCGACCCCTGAAGGAACACAAAGATGAAGGAAGACAGGGAAGTTTTGACACATAAATATGTTAAAACGTAAGGAATTATTGACAAATAAAATGGATGTCTGAGACCAGGTTCCTACAATTTAAAGCAAGATAAATGTAAGACTTTTAAAGACTTTTTAATGCCAAGTGAAATTAAATTTAAGAGCAATTTCATAATAAACACAAATGACAAAAAATAAATAAACTATAGCAACAACTCATGAATAAAAGTATTTTTGATTGAAGAATTCAATTATTTTGCTAACGGACCAATTGTTTTAATCCAAATCTAACTGCTTTTTCGTTAAATATAGCAAAAACATTCTTAGCAGTCAGTTTAACGATACAAAATTTGGAGTTATAGGACCCACAGTGGGGTCTTAATCCCAGTTTGCTGTAGATGAAACCTTGAAGTGCCTGTGACATCAGCATTTGTAAGAAAAGTTAATGCTTTTTTGGAAAGACAACATTATTAACATATTACAAAACAAATTTCACATTGCTCAGACGGACAGTTGTTGAGATATTTGCATGTGAAATAACAGGAAGTGATGTCAAACGGGAATGTCAGCATGTGAATATTTAAAAAAAATAAATGTTACCCATTATTTTATTATTTGAGATGAATTACAGTCATCCTATTTACAATGTGTTAACATTTTTAAGACTTCTGAAAGATTGATTTAAGACATTTTGAGGCTAATTAAGGCCTTATTTCTGGATTGATGAATTCAATGACTTTTAAGACTTTTTAAGGATCTGCAGGAACCCTGGAGAACTTGTCACCTGTTGGTGCTCTGAGGGTGGACGGACATGGGCTTTCCGCCGAAGTCCTTCCCCCCGTAGAGATGCCAGACCACAGAGATCTCCCTCAGCACCACCCTGCTGTGCGGCACGGGGAACCCACTGGGAGCTCGGAGCAGGTCTGAGCTGCCTCGAGGCCTGGAGAAGTGACTGTCCTTCACCCTGATGGGCGTCTGGGAAAGCACAGTGACCACGGGCTCCCCGTCTCTGGGCTGCGGCAAGTTCACATTGTGAGTAAGTTTTACACGATAGAACGGAGTTGTGTTGTCGAAAACACAAGTGAAACAAACAAACGACAACACGGACAAAAACAACAACAAGCTGAGACTCACAGGTATTCCCATCCCAGGCGCCTCCAGGATGCAGAAGTCATCGTTGTCGGCGGAGCCGTCCGAGCCTTCGTCCAGCACCATGTCTGCCTGCGCCTCCATCGCAGTGGAAACCAGACCGTCCAGCTCAGAGTCATCCCTCTGCAGACCAGACAGGCTGTGCTTCGAGGCTTCGCCGGGGAACAAGTAGACAGAGACGGGGGAGCCCCTCGGCACTGATGGTGGACCTCCAAAATCAGAAAGAAATGATCAACTGTTAATTTTATAACACCAAGTTCCAGTGGAGGAACATGAACCAGAGAACAAACTGATCCAGCCATTTTTAATGACTTTAATTTAAACCAACATTATTATTTACATGTTTTATACACATCAAAGCAAACAACTCACTTCTGACCCTTCGTGTGTCGATGTGAGTGTTCAGAGAGAACAAATACCTGCTTCTGTATCGTCTTCGCCGTGGCTCTTCTCCGTGTCGATTAAGGCATCAGCCAGGTCGTACTGGTTGATCTCTGCGGTTTCAGCAGGAAGGCAGGGCGGCAAAGACGCAGGACTTTCTGATAACTAACAAAACAGAACATCCCACAGTTATCAGAAGTTTTAATCCAACCAGTATAAAACATCTGAACATTTGTGACTCCTCACACTGAACCGAGTGCTACGTCACAAAGTGCTATGTGGAGAAACAGGCAGCTACAGTGATTGGTCAAAATATAATGAATTAATGCCTAAAACTACAGGTCCTTTGAATGAACGCTCTGAAATACAATCTTTATTGTTTTGAAGCACTTTTTTGATGTGCACTAACAAAAAAATAACATGACTTTGAGCAGAAAAGCCATAAACATTTTATATTTTCTATACGAACTGGGAAAAGCTTTCCTTCTTTTCTTTCTTTCTCAAAATCCAAATATTATTTGAGGTTTTCTCTTTAAAATGACAGTAATACTTCCTCATTAGAATAACCTAAAAATAGGATTCAGACCAAATATCAGTGGGTTATCCTGATAAGGAAAACACGTCGAGACATTTCTCTGGATGAGGATGATCCAGAAATCAAAATGTAACTTAAAAAGCTGTAGGCGTCACCCCGAGGGGGAATAAACATTTCCACCTGTCTTTAACCCTGGTCTCAGAAGACCTCCCTCAAAAGAGACATTTTATTTTCTTTAATAAATAAAATAATAATGTTCTTTATATTTTTGATTTATATTTTCTTTTAACAACAAGTTATTACGCAACATTAAAAATGCTTTTTAAAACCCTTCACACATTGCAGTTAATATTTTACCTCATACTGCTTCTGACCTTGATTCTGACCAGAATGACATTTAATTTTCTGCTCTTAAAAATGGAAGGTAAACATCTAAAGTAGTGACTTAAAAACTACAAAATCAACACGCTTGTGAACACCTAACCTAAACTCTTCAGCTCAGTTCAGTCAAGTTATTCGCCGTTAACTCGGTGCCTTACGGGTAATTTCTGGCCAGCGATTTCAGTGGGCAGGGTGTGGCAAGGCGGGGGATGCAGGTCACCCTGGGAAACCAGGTACTGCAACACGTTGACGAGGGCGGCACAAGAGTCGGCGCAGGTGTGAAGGTGAACCACGTTGTTGGAGCAGCGGAGCTCGAAGAGAGGCTGAGACTGCAGGACGAAGTGAAAGACAGAATCATGAGACAGAAGCAGATAAAAACACAAATCAGACCCTTTAGATGCTGTCAGGTTGGTGAAACTGTGTAACTATTCCTCACAGCTGTCCTGCTGCCTTTTTTATTTTAGTTTCAGGTCCAGCTGAGAATGCCACTTCAGCTAAATTACTGTCTGGAGCTATTATTATAGAGAAACCTAAATAAAGGTGAAACAAATATTTATAAACACACGGCTAAGTGCTTGTTAGTGGTTTTTTGAAGGAAATTGAACTAGATTATACTGCTTCTATAGTTTTTCTGGCTGCTGCGACGTTTTCATGCTGTTGAACGTGAAGACAAAAAGGAGAGCAATGAGGCGTCTCACCAGTTTCCCAGAATTACTGCCTTTCCAGGTGGTGATGGCGAGCTCCAACAGGTCGATGTCCAGAACGCACACATAATCTGTGGGACAAAAATATAAAAGGTGTGTTTTATTAGATCTTAACATTAGCTGAACTTCTTTAGCTTCAATATTTGTGACATTTAAGAGTTCAGAGGTGGAAACATTCGTCTGAAAATGTTTGAAAGTCCTTCAGAAGCCTTGAAGAACCTCTGATCAAGAGCACTTTAAAGGATGGTTGTCTGTCTTTTCTTGTCTCTACATGTCCCTGTGATGGACTTGTCACAGTGTGTCCCTCGCCTCTCGCACAGTAACTGCAGGAGATAGGAACCAGCGCCCTGTGACCCGGAGCAGCATGAATGGATGAATGGAAACCAAAAAAACAAAAACAAACGCACTAGCTTTACATCAAACTGCCGCTAAACATTGTAACTTCAACACTTTATGTTCAACAAAAACACAAGAAACAGACAAGAGGAAAAAGGTAAACCTGGTTGCAAAGCTAAAACTAAGTGTGCACTGAAGCAACGCTTTACCTCTCCTCAGGTCCACGGCGTCAGACACACATTTATCAGAGAGGTAGAGAGCAGAATCATCCAGGATGAATCTGATGGAAATAGAATAAATCAACATAAAAATAAAAAATATGAACAATGGGCCTCATGCAAGAACCGTTCGTACGAACAGATTTGCTCTTAAGTTGTGCGTATGAGTGATTTAGGAGAATTTGTGGCATTCACCAATTTTCTCGTATTCTAAGATTTTTTTCAGATACGAACAAAATCCATGAGTGGTCCAGACCTGTCGTATATTTTATGAGCAGTCAGTCTGCTGTTATCCAGATGGATTTTCTTCACTAACAACTTTATATTTAATTAGTTTGAAGGTATTTTGATTTGAAAATAAATCACACTCCATAATTATGTTGACAAGAGGTTATTCTGTTTGAATTGGAATTTTAAATGTAACTAATGACATAAATTGGTTAAATTAAATTAAATTGGCTATTAATTCTGTTGTATAACACTAAAATATTAATATGAAGATCTCAAACTAAAAACCAACTTAAATTAAGCATTAACTGAAGTTAATTTGTCTTGGTATATAATGAGCTTTATAGGGTTTTTATTTCAGAACNGGCGGGCGCTTGCCACTGCTCTTCTTCTGAATAAATTAAAGCTATGTAACACAGTTGTTTACACTTTAATTAAAAAAATATTTGACCAAATGAAAAGCGGAGCAGGACTAGAGAGAGATTTATGATTTAGGTTTTTATTTTCTGTGACTGTATACGACCCACAGGAGACACGACATTAACAGCAGTCATCATTTCATTTCTCGGCTTTAGCAGGTCTGACGCTGCTAAAAATGACAGATTTTCTTTTCTGGATCTCTGAGAGCAGGACTTCAATCTCCAAACTCAAAGTTCTTCTTTTTACTTTGCAATGTCATTTATGAATGGACACTTCCTGGTATGTGGGGCAGGAAACGTTACCTTATATGGTGTTTTTAGGGTGGTAATCATGCTAATCACATCTCCTCGTGCACGAGCAGCTGATACGCATTCATCAGTTTATGCAGCTCATTTACAAACTTTTCCTGAAGATAGAAGAGTTTGTTGAATCTGACGTGGCGTGCTCGTACGAACCCTTCATACGAACAAAAGTAAGAGAAATTTAGGATAAGAATACGAACATGTTCTTGCATGAGGCCCAATAATCCTACCACACTCTGCTGTTCCCTATTTATTTTGATTTTGTTTTATAGAACTCTTAATAGATTATTTTCTTCATCACATAAATGAAACATTCAGAGGTAACTCGTACCTGAGGTGGAAGGTGGCAGTGTCTACGATGATGTTAGTGGACAGAGAGAACGACTCTGCTGTGAACAAGACTCGAAGGGGCAAATACAAAGGCCTATAAAAACAAAAAGTGAGAATTAAAAAAAAAAAACTTAAAGAAAATTGCAGTATACTTTTAACGCTTATTCTCTGTGTTTCTACCTGTAGTCTACGGCACAAGTAGCGAGGTGTGTGTGGAGGACAGTGATGATGGCTGGTGGTGTGTATCCCAGAATGGGATCATCAATTACATCCAGAAAGTCGACCAGCTGTAAAAAGACAAAAACAATAAATTTAACCTTCATCCACCTGATTTAATTCCAGAACGATCTCATTTCTTCCCTCTTCAGTGAAATGTGAAGATGAAAAACAAACTGACTGGAAAAACAGATTTGATTTTATGATAATGATTTAAAATTTTATTAGATTTTATTCATTTATTTTTGCATTTTGTTTCTTATCTTCCCTCCAGCTTTTTGAGGACCTCTACTTTCAAAACCACTGGGATAGATGGTTGTGTTTTTTTACAGTTTTTGGATGGATCTTTTTTTTTTGACCACGGAGATGAAAAGACGTCAGCTGCATGTTCCAGCTTGCTAATTTAACAACCGGCTTCTGGAGGTCGACCGTTATCAGCAGAGGGATGGCTGCTCTGCATAAACAAATATGCCCACGAAGTTCTGACCAATCACATTTTGCAAACTGCACCGAGTTCTGACTGGAGGTGATGTACGAGACGGGGTGTCAGCGGGACATAACAGACCACAGTTAAGCAAACTGCGTCATGCAAGACTGTTAGCAAGATGTGAGAACGGAAGCATAGATCAGCCTTTACAGGGAGGCAATAAAAACACGAATCACCTGTTCAAGCAATGTTCATTATCATTAACCACATTTGAATCTTTCATGAAGCTACAAAAATAAACAGTTTAAGTACCTGGAATAAAAGAAACTCTGCTTCATCAAAAAACAAAAAGGATGATAAAAATATATTTCTAGTTTAGCAAGAGCAAATACAAAGTCAGTTCTGTCCTCTGCATTCAACTTAAGTACTGACTTTAAAAACCTAAAAAAAAATACACTAAATGCGGCTCCTCACCTGCTCATGCCAGCTGTGGTCGGTCTGTGTTACGTAGTGTCGTATGGTGGCGCCTTGAAGTTGAAGAGCGACGAGGAACTCCTACGAGGCGACAAAACAGAATTTTTGTTTTCGCATCAAAGCTTACAGCTGCTGCGTTGTTTAGGTACGTGTGGAGCACGTACTTTGACGTTCCGCTCGAGGTCCAGAGTGATTTTTATGGCTGTGGACAACATCTGCAGCTCCCCTTCCCTCCTGCTCACATTGCTCACCCCCACCTCGGTGGGGTAGATGGTGGGGTCCAAGTGCTCCGGTGGAGTGAAGCTGGGCATGTCCAACCGCAGCGGGACGGGGCTGTCTTTCACCACAGCTACGTGTCAAAAACAAGCATGAGGAGCCAGAGCAAACATTTCTAGCCAACAAAAAAATCCAAATATTACACAATAAAAAAAAAAAACACATCAGCATAACATTATAGTAAAATACAACCCCCCCCCCAAAAAAAAAAAAAAAAACCACCATAATGAGCACCTTGATGGTAGAGTTCCACTCGTTTGCTCTCCAAACACAAGAAATTCAGATTGGGGTTATTTTGATGTTGTGCCACACTGAACATCTTCCCCCCTTCCAGGTCCAGCACAATCTCCCCGTGAGTTTCATCATCCTGAAGCCAGTGTCACACAATAAAAACAATAAAGAAACAGAAAAGTGACATGAAAAAAGAGATTAATTTAAAATACAATTAAACCTTAAATCTCAAAATCCTTTTAAATACTAAATATTTTATCTAATTTATTGACAAGTATAAAACACTGAGATGTAGAATAAAAATTATAATTAGAATTGCTGCTTTGCAGAAAGAAGGTCCTCAGTAAGCAGAAGAAGGTTGTTAAGTTCCTGTATGGAGCTTTTCTGCATTGAGTTTTCATGTTCTCCCCATGCAACTATGAGTTTTCTCTAGTAGTCTTTGCGTTTGTGCAAACATCCATGGTTAGGTTGCAACGAGTCCAGGAGGGAAACCCAGACATCCCTCAACCAGCAACTTTCTCCAGCTCCACTTGTGGGATCCCATGGTCTTCCAGGGCCACAGAGGATATTTAATCCTTCCATCAAGTTCTGGGTTAGCCCAAGGGTCTCCTTCTAGTGGGACATAAAACAGAAACACTCTGGATGGAGGCCCCCAGGAACCATCAGCTCTACACCAAGCTCCCCTTGGGTGATGGAAGTCCGGTCCTCTACAAGGAGGTTCTTTTCAGTAATTTGTATCCAGGATCTTGTTCTTTTTGTCATGATTTCACTAGTTTCCTCCCACAGCTCTCCATGACTCTACATCGATTCAAGTGGGTAAAGAAAATGGGTGGAAGGACTTTTTGTTCATTCATTTGTACAATAGGCAGCACAGAGGACCAGCTTTTTGTCAAATGTAAATTCTTAAAAGCAGCATAACTGTTGAACCATTTGAGAATGCACCAAAAAAAGTGGGGTTTCATATTCAGCAGTTAAACTCATCAGTGCCCGTTCATTTAATTCATCACCCTCCTGGCTCACCTTCCTGTCAGTTCTGGCCTGGAGGCGCCCCTTCCCAATAATCACAGTGAGGGAGAGGAGGCTGAGGTTGTGGCTGGGGCGAGGAGCTGACTGCTGCATCCTTCCAGATGAGTCACTGGCCAAATAAAACGCAGGCTCATCTTCTTCAGAATCAGAGTCTACGGCAGAGCGAGAAGCGCTGAATCATTCAGTTTGTCCACAAAGCCAACATTTAAATCCAAAATCAATACAAAACCCAGTGTAAGATATTTTGGCACGCTGATAGTTATTTTGTGTAATAAATCTAAATCGTTATTATTATTATTTTTTTCCCATCATAGCAGTCTAACGTACCCAGTCTGAAGGCTGATTTGCACAGCTGGAACTCGTCGTGGTTCTGGCGGCTCTGGCTGGGGCTGTGGGCCGAGGGGGGAGGAGGAGGGGGAGGCGGCTCCCACATCAAGAGATCGTTATTGATCCTTTTGGACGAAGGGGTGGAAAACTACAATTATTTCTCAATCAGGATAGAAGGCCAACATAAAGATTAAAAAAAAAGAGCACGAGTTCCAAGTGGAAGTGATTAATAAGATGACAAAATTATGTAAAACAGAAAGGGGGAGAAAAATACTTTGAAAAGGCAACAAAAAAGGTGCAAAAAGAGAGATAAAGTGAAGCTTCTGGTGCCCTTTACCTGTTGTAGATGCTCTGGAAAGCCTGTTTGCTGGGCAGGAGGACGTACGCCATGGGCAGGGTTATATCCACAGCACACTGACACTGAGCCACACACTGTTCCTGAAACTGTAACATCTCCTCTCGGTCGGCTGGAATCACCATCTAAATCACAGGAGAGACACGGAGTCAGGTCGGAGATCTCATAAAGATGGCCGTTTTTTAAACATTTTTATTTATTTTTATTTTTTTCTTTGTGTCAGCACACCTCTTCAGTCTCAAACATGGTGCGATTGGAAGAAAACGGGGAGCTGGTGTTCTCCGTAAATTCACAGTGACTTTCAAAAAAAGTGGCCCCCAGGTCTTTGATGAGGCCCAGGTTCAGACCTGCTGATGGGACCTGAGCTTCACCTCCACGCACGCGAACCGATATCCTGTTTATGGAGAAAAAAAGGAAAAAAGAAAAAGAGATTAGTTGAAAAGGTAAAACGCAATTATTTTCTTTATTCTTTGGATCTGACACAAATGTCAACTTGAGCAGAAATGAAAACTTTTTCCAAGAAGACCATCAATGCTATGGAGGGTTAACTGTTCATAACTTAAAACTGTAATTTATTGGTAGTGAGCACAGTCTTATATTTCAAATCCAGAAAAGTACAAGTTAATCCAGTTTTTGGATGAAGCAGGGAACACGTTTGAAGAACTGTATTTCATTACAGGCTGTGTGTTTGTGAACAGTGAAGACTTACTGGTACATTTTTCATGTGACTATATCAGCCAGTCCCAAAAAGTGATTTGTAAGCAGAGTAATTTGAGTTTAACCAGAAGGAGTTTTTCCAATTTTCCTATGAAACGTTTATCTGACACAGAAGAGCTAAATTAAATTAAAAACACGTGAAAGATCCTGTCAGGCAGAAAACTGCTTCTTTCCACTAGAGAAAAAAAAGGCTTTCTTAAAACAACTTTGGAGAAGAACAGAATGCTCTGTTTTTATCCTACATTCAGGCCGTTACAATAATTACTCTCTGATTACAGGGACTAACCCCGGCAGAACGTCACGACTTCTCTTCACTTTGATACAAGGGAAGGAGCCTCCCTCCCAGCCCTCATACGACCCTGGGGAGACACAGCAGGGGAACAGGAATCATTTAGCAAACAGGTAGGACTACATTTCATTTGTACAGTTAAAGTCTTGAGAGAATATGCCTTGCAAAGCAAAATAAATATACTTAGCAAGTAAATAAGTGTTTGGTAGACAATGCTTCTTGGTAATTCTTATAGCTAGCAGGCACTTGATTAACAGCAGCAGGGGGGAGACCAGAACCTCTAAATAAGTGTCAATAGCCTATATGCCACAGCCATTGATGAAGTATTTCCATTAAAATTGCAGACACGCACTTCCCTTCCCTTCCACTTCCTGCTTATTGCCTGTTGTTTTTAGCATTAGCTCCTAGTTCTAGTCTGTGAAAAAGCCACAAAAGTTAAAGCATCTGTGAGCTACTGGTATAAAACGTGAGTTCTGTTGTGTGCCGTTGTGTCTGCTAACCAGCAGGTATGATAGAGTAGTTAGTTTTTCTCCATTTTCCTCTTGATGAGGAGTAAAGGCGACATCAATGAATCATAGCAATACAGGGAAAAAGCTATAAAAGCTCACGCTCGCGTTTTTAATCGGCATTTCCAACCTGAGGATATTCAAGAGCCAGCATCAGAAATGAGAAGACGGAGGTTACAAAAGGGAGACGTACAATTATCCCCCTTCACTGCCAAGACCACCTCCAGAGGACAGCTAGGAGGAAGCTAACAGCGGCCAGTACAAAGGTAGGTGTGTGTGTGTGTGTGTGCGCGAGTTTGTGTTATACAGAGTATGAAATTATTTTCGGCAACTTTTTCATAAGTTGTATGCAAAAGTAAAAACTTGTTAGAATGTATATTACAGCGTAGACGAAACATGAGAGCCGAGTGCGAGTCTGTGGCATAGAGGCTATAGCAACAGTTAAATAAGCTGTTTGGTACAGATTTGACAAATTTCCCATGTGCACAACCCACATACTGAGCTCTGCTGCTCACAAATGCATGTTCCTTACAAATGTAATTTGTAAGCAGGGGGTTTGTTTGTTTTGTTTGTTTTATTATTTGTTTGTTGAATGAAATAAAGTTCTAAACTAACTAAAACTAAAACTAAACTAGATGTGGCACCATTTCAAAAGGGAAATTAACAGGCTTTCCAATGGTATAAGAGTTATTATAAGAAGCATTGTTACAACAAAGAAACAATATGACAGAAATTTGATCCTTCTTTGTCGCCTCGATGACATAAAACAACATATTTGCAAAAATTCACTTTTACCAAGAAGGCCAAGCATTAGAAAATACAGGTCCATAATGGGGAACATACACCCTTGATTAAAGATGGAGGTATAACCCCCCCGAAACAACTACTGGTTGGTTGTGCTCCCACCGTGCAAATCGGTGAACGTGGCCTCCAGCAGCTGCGTCAGACAGGGAGTCCACGGCTTCCCCGGGCCCGCCTGCTCGCTCTGGAGGTCTGGGGCCTCCTGGTGCTTCAGCTCCAGCTCCATCAGCTCCAGCACCAGGGTCTCCTCCCGGACGGCCCTCTGGGTTGGCGGCCTTCGTTTGGGTGGGGGCCGCAGGTCTGGGATGGGAAAGCGAAGCCTCAGTGTGGCGTTGGGGGAGAGCAGAGTGAAGGAGGAGCTGAGTTCAGAGCTCTGCGTCTGAAAGGACAGAAAGTGAGAGACCTTTGAGTACATATTTCTTAACGAAAAGTCAAAATAAAAGAAATTATCTGGTCATTGTCACCCCTTATAGTTGCAAAAGCTGGATTGTTTCAGAACAATAAGACGGGGAGACAATTTTAACAACGCTTAAGTCAGCACAAACACAATCAGTCAGACATGACAGGATCATATTTTGGGACCATTTTCTCGTAGATCTGGCCAGTTTTGGTTGTAAAGTTCATGACTCTGCAAAACCACACTGGCTTACATAAGACAAAATTACATTATGAGAATTCTGAATGCTTTTCTACTTAGTCACAGGAGCCTGGTTTATGACACAGATGGGCTCCTGTACAACATTTGTGTGGTTTTGATTGCAAACATATGCTGTCATTATGAGAAAACAGGAATTTGTGTGTTTGTGTTTTCAGTGGACTGTGTGTTTCCTCAGAGCTTTCAGGCATCGATGTTAAACTGTTGTTTTTTTATACGATTAAATAATAGCTGTCAATTTTTATATCACCTGTATTTGATTTATTTGGTGTTATAGTGTTTCACCTTTACGAGTCCTGATCCAGTACCCTGGGAAGGACAGTAGCTGAAGGCTTTCCTGAGGTTCTCCAGTCGGCTCAAGATGTCCAGGTCCAGCTCAGCGCTGAGCTCCGACAGCTCCACCCGTACGACGCTGTCCCGCCGCAGCACGCGCTGTTTACCCTGCCAGGGAACAAATACAAGAACAATATGTTAAACTGTCATCAGCCACAACTTTTGATCCCTTGGAGGAGTGTGCTATGAATAAAATTCAACACAATAAAGTTGTTTTTGTGCGTTAAAACAGAGATTCTTAAATCTTTGACCGCAATCTCCACTTCGAGGGTCTCCAAAGAAAAATCTGAGCAGCGAGAGCCGAGGGGTCGCATTGATTTTAACACCTGAACTATTGTTATCCATTTAATGCTGAGTTGCAATACAATTTCTCACCACTTCTAGTGTTAGTGCTCCACTCAGACGTTGAGCAACTGTTCTTTTCAATCCGTAGAAGTAGAACCTTAGCCCCCAAAAATGAAAACACCAAAAATGACCAAGATTACACCCGAGTATAACGCAGTCTGGATCAAATACAGGTTTGTGAGCTGGGGGAAACAGGGAGGAGTGTGGATTAGCCATGGGATTAGCCATCCAACGAAGCACTGAAGCCATCCAAACTTAATCTAGAATTTTGAATTTGTCAAACAGGAAGAGCAGCTTCTGGTTGTTTTATGTGTAGGCTAAAAGTTAAATTAATGTTTGTAATAATCATGACTTATTTGACAAGGTTTATTGTATTTGTTAAATTGTAAGTGTACTTCATTTACAGTTCCAATACAATACAAATTAACCCAAGATTTAGATCAGTTATCACTATGATCAGTACATTGTTAATATCTGAATGGGCCTCGTGTAACTTTAAATTCAACAAGTTAATCCCTAAGATCAAAAAGGTTAAGAACCCCTGCATTAAATGACTCAACAAAACCTAAACCTCCACTTAGAAACAACAGGAACCTTGTGAATATTTACCCTGTAATAAAATGAAACAAGTTAATATTTCATAACTGTTACATCAGCAGGGTGAAACATTCAAAACATTCTATAAAAACAGATTATTTCTTGGAACAGCACATTTTGTGCACTGAAGCACAAACTGAATACGTAAACAAGAGCCATTTCTTTTAAGATAAGAAAATACTGTGATATCGGTTTGTGTGTGTGTCTGTGTGAGGTGTGTACTTTATACAGGAGTTTTTCAGTGAGGCTGTAGTGAAGCTGGGCACACGGTCGGGCTGCAGCTCCAACTGTAAACAAACCAGCTTTCTGGAACTGAAGTAACTGGAAAGAGACACAAAAAGAGTTTTTCCTTTAGTTGGACAAAACAGAAGATACCAAACTAACAAATATTTGATAAATCACCTTTTTCTCTTATTTATTTAACCCCCGTGTACACTTCTTGTACGTCTTTTGTTTTAAAAAAGCAACTTTGTTTTAATAAGCCATGAACTGATCACACAAAGTCTTCAACATTAAAATTTAAATAACAGTTTATCATTAATGTGGCCATAAATATATGATAAATGATATGGCCATATCATTATTCTGACCATAAAACAAAAGTAGACTAAACACAATAAAACAAAAGTAGACTAAACACAAAAGCAATCTTTATGGTTTTAGGTCTTATTAATCACAAACTAAAACCCGAGTTAAAGATTTTCTACCTCAGAGTACTGAGGCGTTCCATCCTGCCAGAGGTACTCTAACAGTTCCAGTCTGCTGAAAGAAAGGTCAGAGGTCACGGCCCGACAGCGACGTCTCCCACTGCGCATCTCACAGACAACCTGCACTGCTGCCCCCGTCAGTCTGCACCAGAGGAAACATGAACCAGATCATCAGACAGGGAGTTGTAGAAGATGTCAATAAATATAAATATGTGAAGGAGAAGCAGGATGAACTGAAGACTGTAATATGATGAACTTACACCATTCAAAAATTATTCAAACTTTCAAACATTTTACAAAATCTTCACTTCCTACCAGCTGTTCTACTTTGAGGTTAAAGTTTGTTTTGAGAAAAATACATTTTCTCCAATAATTTGAGCAGATTATTTTAAAGAAATACAGTATATAGTGCTCTTATCGCATCTCATCATTAAATATAATTGTTTGAAAATAAAAATAGTTTAGAAAAAAAAGTTTCTATGAGTTATGTTCAAAAAGATGCTTTTCCACCTGAGATGGGAGTGCGGACAGGCTTTCGCGAAGCCATCTCTCAAACTGCTGAAGTTCTTTTCGCTGAACATGCTGTCCTTGAAATTGCACAACTCTTCGAAAAATGATCTAGACACGTGAGCCAATGACGACGCTCCGTTGGACTTAGAGGGCGGGTCTTCCTGCAGCATGGTCAGCGTGATCCCGCCGATGGTCAGTCTCAACAAGGATTCAGTTTTCAGCTGCTCCACCTGGCCGCTGTGTGAACGGCCTGCACAGAAGATGGTTTAATTTGAGATTAATATAAAGAAATATGTGTAAAATTCACTTTTAACTTTAGATTAAATTTCCTGTGAAAATGCTGTGTGACTGCTTATTGCTGAAAGATTTCTGCTGAAAGCTGCTGAAGAAGCAAAAAATATTTAATAATAACAAAACTGCTGTGAGCTCAATTTGTACAGCTGATATTTACTGAAAGTAGGGGAAATAAAAGTGAAAGATCAGTGAACAGGGCAGAAATGAATAGTAGAAACAAGTTGGATTTAGCAGACAGATGATAAAATGATTTTAAAAAGCTCATATTAGAAAGAAAACAAGAAGTAAAAAAAATACTATCAGTGATAAAATAGCTAGAAAAAAAGCTGACACCAGCTGAAAATAGCTAAAAAGTGGATGCAAAAGCTGAAATTAGCATAAAGAAGCAGAAAAAGCACATTTTTCGTATCAAGCAGTAAGAAAATGACATTATTACAATAAGGTGAAATTAGTGTGAAAAAGCTAAAATTAGCTAAAAACCAATCAAATGTAGCATAAAGGGCAGAAAACGGCTTAAATTAGAAAAAACAGAAAGCAAGAAAGGTTGAAATAAGCAGAAAAATAGCAAAAAAAGATAGCTGAAATAGCAAAAAAAGCAAAAATTAGCACCCCAATTACAAAAACAATAAGCCAAAGAAGGCAGAAATTAGCACAAAGAAGCAGAACCAGAGTAAAAGGTATAACGTGCAGTAAAGATTTATAAAACATCTGAAAGGTTTTAAGGATGCTGAAGACAGCTCCATTCATTGTCAATTAGAAAAAAAGTGGTCAAAAAAGCTAAACAGTTGAAAAAGTACAAGTTACTGAAATACTAAAAGTCGTAGCAGCCGTAGCATTAATGAGCTGAGCATTTTGATGTATGAATTGTTGAAATAGCACAAAAATCGTAGAATGAGTTACATGCAGAAAAATGGAAAATCTCAGTTATTATTTTACCTCTGGGCCGACTGGCCTGGGGTAAACTGGACAGGCAGCCAACCACAGGATATCTCCTGGGACAGTTCACCAAACCCTGGAAAATACCAGCAGAAACAAAATTTACTACATAAGTTTAAAAACCTGTTGCTATTTCATGTGAACTATAAAAAGAAGTGAACAAAGCATACAATAAAAGAGTTTGCTCAATCACATTTTACCATTTTAAACATGTGATGTCCAATAAATAAAACCTAAAACAGAAAATTTAAAGAAAAGTGTTTTTATACTCCACTTAGATTTATCTATTTATTTATTGATTGGGGGCAGTTCTCTGGCTCTGATAATAATCTTATTTATGTCTTTCTGCTCAGTGTTTAACAGTAAAAGTCCCTCACGTGTACATACACACGAGCAGTACCTGTGCTACCAGAGCTGCCGGCTGCGTGAGGCTGCACAGGCTGTGGGTGGACGAGTCCATGTCGCTGTCTGACAGCTCGCTGCCAGAGCGAACAGACGTCACGCTGCTGTTCATACCAGCAGGACCCATGGAATAAAACATTTCTGTGCAAACACATAAAGTCACAAGTCAAATATCACAGTGTACACAAGCTCTTCATAACGACACGTAGCTCGAAGAGACAGCAGCAGGAATTGTTCTTCCAGATCTGAACTCTTCTTATCCAAATAAACCTGAATCAAACATCCAGACGATTTACTTTAGAAGATTAAACGACTAAAACCTCTACGGCAAGGTTTCAATCTGCTGTTTTTCATGCAAATAAATCAAGAATGAGCTGGTCCTGATCTGCATACCTCCATTCTCCAGAGTGGTGACGAAGGACTCCAGATCCGGCTCGGTTTCCCACTCCCTGTCTCTGGGACTGGAGCCCAGCTGCTTACTGAGGTCCTCCTCAATCTTCCGAAAGTCGTCCGAGTCTAAAGGACGACTTTTTCCTCCACCACACTTTGTCTCTGGCTCTGAAGGTGAGAAAAAAAATACAAAAAACTGATTCACATGTGCACCCCAAAAAATAAAAAATAATAAAAAAGAGAGGCTATATTTAAAAAAAAAAAAAGTCCACATTTAGGAGATATTTTCAAATGTTTGTAATCTTCCCGTTAAGTCGAAAACATTGTGCCTTTAAAATCACCTGCATGGTTAAAGGAGACGTATCATGCTTTTAAATCCTTTTTCAAAAAGGTGGAACTGCTTTGGTCTGAATTCCTCTTTGTTGTAACTCCACAAGGACCTCTTTCACCCCTTTTCTGAAGGGTGTCTCAGAAATATGACCCATAAAGAATATAAAGATACCTACGCAGCGTCAGGAGAGACTAAATTTAAATTTCCTGCACTCCTTGAGACTCCAAGTTTTAAGCAGTAATTAATGAGCTTTTTTATTATTTATGCTGTTATAACAGATCAGGCTGTTTCTCTGATGTTCAGTGTTCAAATACGTTCAGCTGATAATATAACCCCATTAATTTAATTTAGTAATGTGATTTCCCAGCTTTAAACTTCTCTTTAAACTGTTGTCTTGTCAGGGTTCTGTTCTGATTTGAACATTAAACAAAGAGAGCAGATATTTCATCTGTACCAGTATCGATGCACAGGGCAGACAGAAGGTCGGTTAGATGGGTTATTTGATCTGGAGACAGCAGCAGGTGGACACAGCCCACCTTCCCATCCAACTCCAACTGAGGAGAGAAAGACAGGAGAATGAACGAGGCTGTTTTAAGATCTGAGTTTACACTAGAGAGAGCTCCACCTTTGGTCCTGGCAGCATGTCGTTCTGTTTGATCTTAACGATGGTTTCGACGAAACCGGAGCAGCGTCCTATCAGCAGAGGCTGAGACGGAGGACCAGAAGAGGTTTTCAAGGTTTTGGGTTCTTCCTCTTTTTCCTCATGGTCCTCTTCCTCTGCTTCACTGTCTGTGGCTAAATTTGGATGTTTCTCCTCAGGAGAACCCTGAAAAGATAAAAACAAAAAATAAGGACAAACTTCAAGCACTTTTAAATTGCCTCTGAATTGAGCTGAAGTTGTTCTCCAATCATTTGTCTCAAGCAATGTGAAAAGTCCTCTAAAGGAGAGAAAGCTGTGTAGACTCTCAGTCATCCCAACAAATAAAATCAAAGACATCTGGACTTTTTTTTTGTTTTTATGCAGACATTTTCCTTTTCATTTCTCAACTCAGTTGAGAAAGCCCATTGAACATGTTCAGATGTGAAAACGTACATAAAACACCAAACCCCACCTCTTTCTACGTTTATAGGAACGTTTCCACTAAACAGAAATAACAAAGAGAGTGGTGTTCCTCACATGCACTACGCCGATTCTGTCGTAGAACAGCTGAACGGCGCTCAGCTGCAGGATCTTGTGCAGAAAGGCGGGCGGCTGGTGGATATCGACAGGCACGGCAGTCTGGCTGGCTGGATCTCTCACTGCTTCATCAAAATACTGCAGCCTGGGAATAATGCTCAGTTAGATGGGACAATGATAGTGAGGAGAAAAAAAGGCTGCTTTTTCTCTAAAGGAAATTGCTTAATTAAATAAATGAAACGGTGAATAAAAAAATGAAGAACAGACTGTTCGTGATAAAAGATAATAAGTACATTTAGTTTATGATGTTAAACTGTTTTCAAAGATAAAAGCCAAAGTTACTGTCCCCCATCTGGGAATGATCTCATCACTGTCACTCTGAACTGAACTGAGCAGCCTGAGGGTCACTGACTGCAGATCATCAGAGCCGACCTGAACAGGTTTGTCAATAAACCAGGAAAACAGAAGGTTCAGCTTAAAATAATGCCTCCAGCAGTCCTAATAACATAAAGTCTGTCAAAAAAAACAAAACAAGCATGCGTTACATATACGACAAGAGGAGGTTATCAGGAACATCAACCAAACGTTTGAAGGGAACTGTATCTACAAGAACTGATCACTTCTTACAAAAAGTAAATATAATTCTGGATAAACTGCTGTAAAGACACATCTAATCATCAAGTACAACAGTTACTTTTTAGTTTGCAGTGACATCATTGCACCAATTCAGTCATGTCATGATCACACAACTCTTAAATGAGGAAAAATAAACTAGTCAGTACTGGCCCAGTTAGAAATGAGCTTCACTCACAACAGGTCTCACAATACGAAGCAAAACCAGTCAGATTATAACAGAGCAAAAGGCAAGAAGATTAAATCCAATTTCAGCTTCTCGTTTTTACTTTCCTTCTTTGCTGACAGCAACAGAAATGCTGATCTACACTTTTTTTATTGCCCAAAACAATACCTTCTGTTTCAGTTACTGTGAACAATAAAGACTTTTAAGTGGCTGTAGACAAATAAAGCTACAAACTGCACTTTGGTCTCTGAGACAGCAGCCCAGCTGTGCACAAAATGGTTGATATTTGTGGTAACCACTTGCTGAAACGTTAAGAGGGCCAAACTGTTGCACAAATTTGCAAAAGAAAAAAAAATAATACAGAAAAAGAAACACAATCTGACCAGTCTGTGTACATTTCATTATTCTGTAACATAAAATAAAATGAAAAATGTAACAAAAAAGGCATCCGAGTTCCTCAATGTGAGTTCTAATGACGTGACATTTAAAACCTGAACTGTTTTAGTTTAACATCAAACTTGTGTTTCATTCTTGTCAGAAAAAAATTCACACATCAGATATATAGTAAGTCTTGAAAGAAAGAAAGAAAGAAAGAAAGAAAGAAAGAAAGAAAGAAAGNAGAAAGAAAGAAAGAAAGAAAGAAAGGTTTACTTATATAGCACCTTTCATAGAAATAAAATCACAAAGCACTTCACAGAAAATAGAATAAAAGCAAGAAAGTAAAATAGTAAATTAAAACATCACCACAGSATTACATTCATACAAGAATACAAGTAGTAAAACAAAATTAAATAAATAAACCACTTAGCTAAAAGCCTGTTTGTAAAAGAAATTTTTCAGATGTTTTTTTAAAAGCAATGAAATCAAGGCTGCATAAAAGTTGAAGAACTAAGAATAAGAATAAGAACTGATCAGAATCAGAACTGGAGATTTTCAGATACTCTGTTACACCAGAATACATTATTTTATGTCTAATTGTGCACCTTACATTGACAGGACAGACTGTGTGGTTTTGTATTTTTGCAATTTAAGAGCAGAGAAATTCATTAAAAACAAAAACTGTAAACGTGACCTTTAGCTTTCTGCATGTCTAATGAGAAGCTCTTTAGAAGGTCTCCTGTTTTTTCTCTTCATCTCTAGTTTTGTAAACAAGAGAAGCTCCTACCTTTCGATGTGCACTTCTAAGGCAACACCTGTTTTCAGGCCTGGAGGCTGGTGCTCAATGCGGACGATTGTGTCTAGAAAAGTGACTTTGATACGACGAAGAACTGCAACCAGAGACAGACAGGTCAAAGGTCAATACAACTAATGTATCATGTAACGTCAGCTGACAGGACTGTTTACTTTTTAAAATATGTTTTCATGCGTCAATGTTGTCTCAGATTGGAAAAAGGACACAAGGAGCTGTGTAGTGATTATAATCATTCAAATCTATAAACCGTCCGAGTGACAGTTCTGTTTGTTGACAATATAACAAAAACAACCAAATAAATAACCTGTCAGCCCAGTTAATGTTAAACCTGAGATGACCTGCAAACTTATAGTTGTTTAAACATCAGAATGACTTCATATTACTTTGTACACGAAGAAACAAGCACAAAGTAAATTCACAGCTGCAATCTAAAGCTTTGCTCACCTGTCTCGATAGTCTGTGCAAACATCTCAAGGCCCTCCAGAGGGGCAGGTGGCTCCTCGGATGCCTCCGGTGGGTCCTTTAGGCACTCCTGAGCCAGCTGCATGCTGGAGGTCATACTGGACGACCAGCCCTGTGAGTCCCAACTCCCATCTGAGGGAAAAACAAAACCAAACGGGATTTCTTATCATTTCTAAGGTTTAGAGACAAACCAGCATTTGAAAAGTTTTTGTTTTTCTTGTTAAGGTTCAACAAAGTGTTTTTCTTTAAATACATTAATTTTGCTCTTTTTTTGTTTCTGCTATGTTGATGGAAGGCTCTTCAGACAAAAAAGTTCTGCATCATGTTCCATTAAGTCCTCATCTTTAATACTAGACCAGTAGTGTAATACTAGACCCATACTGTAATACTAGACCTGTACTGTAATACCAGATCTGTACTGTAATGTAATACTAGACCTGTACTGTAATACTAGACCTGTACTGTAATACTAGACCTGTACTGTACTGTAATGTAATACCAGATCTGTACTGCAATACCAGACCTGTACTGTAATGTAATACTAGACCTGTACTGTAATACTAGACCTGCACTGTAATACTAGACCTGTACTGTAATACTAGACCTGTACTGTACTGTAATACTAGACCTGTACTGTAATGTAATACCAGATCTGTACTGCAATACCAGACCTGTACTGTAATGTAATACTAGACCTGTACTGTAATACTAGACCTGCACTGTAATACTAGACCTGCACTGTAATACTAGACCTGTACTGTAATACT